CTTGGTGCTTCATCGTCCTCACAAGCACTGCTAGGAGTGACTGCAAGGCAGAGAACGGAAGTAGCCCCTGTGCACCACTGGGTGTGGTCCAAAACCAAAATAAAAACAACAACAAAACAAAACCAAAAATAATAATAAACTGAGCTGCTGAAACCGGTTACTCCTGGCTCTGCACTCAAGAAATACTCCTAGCGGTGCTCAGGAGACCATATGGGAGGCTGGGAATTAAACCCCGGTCAGCCCAGTGCAAGGCAAACACCCTACCCGCTGTGCTATCGCTCCAGCCCTTCATAGATTTTTTTTTTAAATCACTGTCATCAATATTGCAAACCACAATGCGCAATAGGAGAGAGAAAGAGAGAGTGAGAGAGAGAGAGACAGAGAGGGAGGGAGAGAGAGAGAGACAGAGAAAGAGAAAGAGAGAGAGAGAGAAGAGCCTGCCACAGAGGCAGGCAGGGAGTAGGGAGTGGGGGTGTACATTTCCTCCAAACCTGGGGAAATGTACACTGGTGGAGGGGTGGGTGTTGGAATACTGTATGACTGAAATCCAATCATGAACGGCTTTGTAATGCTCTACCTCATGGTGATTCAATAAAAAAGTTAAAAAAATAAAAAAAAAACACTGTTCAATGTCACTCTGCAGACCAGGAGAAGCTGCACGGTGAGCCCTGTGCTTCCTGTCCCCAACACCAGCAGTGCTCAGGGCTTACTCCTGACTCTATGCTCAGGGATCACACCTGATAGTGTTGGGGGGAACATAAAGGATGCCGGGGATTGAACCTGAGTCGACTGCATGCAAGACAAGTGCCTACCCACTATAATATTGCTCCAGCTACCTGGCCAGTGGATTTTATAAGGGGATTTTGCCTCCTCCTTCAGGACCCTTCAGTTCCAATCACAGAGGGGAGCCCCCGACTCAGGCGATAGGACTGGGGTGGGGGTTATTCCAGCAGATTTGTACAATTACCCTTTCAGGGAGGAGTTCTAGATACACAGTCCCCCTGCCTCTCACAGAGAACTTTTCTGCTCAGGGGTCACTCCAAGCAGAGCACAGGGAACCATATATGGTGATGGGGATTGAACTGGAGTCGGCTTCATGCAAGGCAAGCACCTTCCCCCTGTGCTATCGCTCTAGCCCAGATTTAGATGCTTTTTTTGGGAGGTGGGAGGAGCTTGATTTTTGCTTCTGGCAGTTCTGTGGATCGAAACCTGGGAAGCTCTCCAATGCTGAAGCATATCCCTGGCCTCACCGGAAATGAACTGTAAAAGAAATACACAGTTCTGTGTGAACAAGAGAGGGTCAAGGAATCCTTTAAGAGACACTTGACTCAAGCTGAGGAACACTAGTTATTCTGCAGGAACTCACCTCTTGGAGACTTGGGAGGGTCAAGGATTTGTCCAGCTTTTTTTTTTCTTTTTGGGTCACACCCGGCAATGCACAGGAGTTACTCCTGACTTTGCACTCAGGAATTACTCCTGGCAGTGCTTGGGGGACCATATGGAATGCTGGGAATTGAACCTGGGATGGCTGCATGCAAGGCAAACACCCTATCCACTGTGCTATTGCTTCAGCCTTCTGTCCAGCTTGTTTTTTTGCTTTTTTTGACTATATCCATCCATGTTCAGGGACCTATGCTCAGGAGTGATCCCTGGAAATACTTGGCAAACCATTTGCCGTGCCAGGGATGAGAGGCAGGATCAGAGGCATGTAAGGCAAGCACCTTAATTCCTGCACTAGCTCTCTGGCTGCCAACTTGCATTATTGTTCTGAAACTGGATAATAATATACCGAGTGGCTTCTGCATTCTCACACCTGTGGACCAGAGTTGAAAACCCCCTGTATTGCCCATGATTCAGAGAGGAACACAGAGACACAAGACCAGCTAAGAGGCTTGTAAGAGGCGGCCCGGATAGCTCAATGAGCCAAGCATGGATGAAGCGAGCACTGCATGCAGGAGGCCTGGGATCAACCCCCAGGACTGCTTGGTCCTGAGGACCACTAGGTGACTCCCTACCGAGCACAGAGTGGGCAGTAGCCCTTAGGGACAGCCAGTGCTGCCACAAAGCCTGAAATGCCCAACTCCTCCCTCCCACACCTTCCCCGAAGCCTTTCCCTTCTCTGGGTTCTAGAGTTTCCAGAGAGATAATTCAGGGGTTAAGGAATTTTCCTTGCATGGGGCCGACCCCTGTTCGATCCCTGGCACCACATAGGGTCCCCTGAGTACTCCCAGGTGTGCCCCCATAGAAAACAAAGAGCCTGGCACTACACCTTGCCAAAGAAGGGCCCTCATCAGCAGAGGTGAGGGGAAGGTGGGGAGTTGGTATGGAGCACAGGGAAGAGCTGGATTTCTTGTGGGGAGGAGCAGAAATGTTGGAATGAGTCCTGTAGCTGGAAAGCCCTTGGCCAGAGGTGCTGGCAGACTAGGAGCGGCTTGCTTCTGAGATTCCTTGGGGTGCCTTGTGGGGGTTCTCAGCTGGCAGCCCAGGGCTTGGACTGGAGAGATGGACCCAGCCCACAGCTCCTCACTGTCCTGGGAGGGAAATGTGTGCCAGAGGAAAGGGGAGAGGCAGGCGAAGGGGGCCAAGGGAGCCCCCCGAGGTCAGAGAGAACTGAGCTGGAAGGTGGGGACTTGTGGGGCGTGGATGGACCAGACCCCATTGTGGGGCTCTCTGCTGGCCAGACATCTTCTGATAAGTGCGGCTAACTGCATCGAAGTGCTGGCATAGGTCTGATTGGCCCCAGCGCCCTCAGCAGCGGGAAGTTCTGCTTCCACACCGCCCAGCCCCGGGACCATAGGTCACATGTGGCCACTGGGTGCTGGGCATGAGACAAGGGGGAACTGAAACTTAAATCTTGCTTGTGTGCTTTCGAGGGCCACACCCCAAGGAGCTCAGGGTTCTGTGGGAGGTGCCAGGGTACCACCTGGGCTGCCCACTTGCAAAGCACTGCCACCCTTTGAACCAACCTCCCAGGTCACAAGCTGAAACTTTATTCCCCAGTGGTGTGCTCCTGATTCCCTGCTTAGAGACAGCTTTTGGTGGGACTCAAGGGAATTTCCAGGGTGCTGGGGAATGAATCTGAGTTAGCTTCACAGATGGCAAGCACCCTAGCCCTGTCCTCTCTCTTTGGTCCTATTTTAAAATTTGTCTGTTTGATGATGGCCGTTCAATACTTGCGTTGCAGACCACAACACCCTAAAGGAGAAAGAGAGTGAACGGGAATGAGCTTGCCACAGACGTGGGGGTGGGGTGGGGGATAGTGGGGGGTGGTGGGAGGGATACTGGGAACACTGGTGGTGAATGGACACTGGTGGAGGGATGGGTACTCGATCACTGTATGACTGAAAAGCAAGCACGAAAAGTTTGTAAGTCTGTAACTGTACATCACGGTGATTCATTAAAGAATCAAAAAAAAAAAAACAAAATTTGTCTGTTTGGGGCCATACTCATCTATGCTCAGGGCTCACTCCTGGCGGTGTTGGGGAGCTGGGATGCTGGGGGTTGAACCTGCGTAGGCAGGCTGTGTGCAAGGCAAGTGCCTTAACCCCTGGGCTATGTCTCCAGCCAGGAACTGGATCTCTAACTGCAGAGACAGGCACCCACGTTTTCAAGACAGGTGACCCCAAAATATGTTGGAAGACTGGGTTCAAGATGACTTCTGGGGGGAGGGTAAACAAATCAATACCAAAAGCTGGAAACAAAGGTTTTCTACTGGCCCACAAACTCGAGCCAGCCCGGGGAACGGGGTCCGGTGGGTGAGAGATGCCTTGCTCCCACCAGCCCTGCTTTCCTTCAACGTTTTTCTCTTTCTGCCTTTTTCCATTCTGGAAAAGCCCCTCTTGTCTCTTGAACATGTATTCCTCTCTTTCCCTCCCCTCACATTCAACACTATCTTGCTTCACACACACACACACACACACACACACACACACACACACACACAGTTGAGAGCCATTGGAAAGCTCTCGAGCCACCAACCACCAAGCTGCCAAACTGTAGAACAAGCTGCTGTGGAGGTCTATTAATTATTTGTAAAGGCCCTCCGTTGTTCGTCGATTTGCTCGAGCGGGCCCAGTAACGTCTCCATTGGAGACTTTGTTGTTACTGTGTCTGGCATATCGAATACTCTCGGTAGCTTGCCGGGCTCTCCGAGAGGGGCGGAGGAATCGAACTCGGGTCGGCCATGTTGGCTGTGTGCAAGGCAAATGCCCTACCGCTGTGCTATCGCTCCTTATTAATTATGTATCCGCTAATTCTCGGTGAGCTAATGGAGGCGGATGGAAGAGCAGGCAGGCAGTCTGCAAGGCTTTGTGTGCTCATTGTGCTGTTCCTGGGATTTACTTCACCTCAACCTATCCTCTTGGCCCCCTTCCTTTTAGTTTTTCTGGGGTGGTTATGGGGATGTCACATCGGTAGTGTCCAAGGTTTACTCCTGGCTCTGCGCTCAGGAATTACTCCTGGCGATGCTCGGGGGAAACCATACAGGATTTTGGGGAATCAAATTATTTTTTTGCCTTTTGGGTCACACCTGGCGATGCACAGGGGTTACTCCTGGCTCTGCACTCAGGAGTTACTCCTGGCGGTGCTCAGGGGACCATATAGGATGCTGGGGCGGCTGCGTGCAAGGCAAACGCCCTACCCGCTGTGCTATTGCTCCAGCTGATTTAGGGGAACTGAACCTGGGTTGGCTGCACACAAGGCAAGTCCCCTGATGTTCTGCTGTGCCAGCCCCTAGCTACCCTTTTTGAGCTGTACAAACCTGACTTGGTGACAGTGACCCAGCACAGAGGATTCCAGCCCCGTGCATGTGTGTGTGTGTGCGTGTGTGTGCATGTGTGTGTGTGTGTGTGTGTGTGTGTGTGTAGGAAGTGCTGATTCCATGCCACCCACGGGCTCCTGTGCTGGCCCTGAAGATCTGAGCCTTCGGCACCTTGAAGCCCTTCCGAGACATCACGCTCCCCCTTCCCTTCCCAGAGAACCAGTTTCCACCACGCAGAGGGTTACAAAATCCAAAATAATTTTATTCACTTTTTTGAAGACTTCTGCTTCCACAAGGTGTTCGGCGAACATGCTAAGGCGACAGGATGTCCAGTCGGTCACGACATGCAACACGGACCGTTCCACCGACGACAGCAGCGACCATGCCCACCTGAGCTACTGGCCCCCCAGCAGAGGGGGGCTGCAGGGAGGGGACACCCCGAGCCCCGCGGCCATCAGCAACCTGAGGTAGGTCTCTTTAGAGTACAAAATAAGAAAAAAAAAAAAGACTTGGACACCAGTGCGAGGCACTGATGAGCAGGAACTCCTTGAAGTCGCAGACTTTGGAGGGCATGGGGGTGATGGGGGACACGGAGCAGCCACAGCGAGTGAGGCGGCGAGGGGACCCCTCAGCCTGCGCTCTGTTGCTGGGCTGTGGGGTGAAGGGGGTGCGGCCACTGGGCATCAAGGGTGGGGGCGGTGTCTGCCAGGTGGGGGTAGAGATCACCACTCCAGAGAGGAAGGCAGAAAGGTGCCCGCCACCCCTGATGGAGGGAGCAGAGAGGGGGGATGGGACGGGACAGGGGTGCTTGCTGGGGGTTCAGTCCCGCGGCTCTCCTGACAGAAACAATAAAGTGACATCAGGACAGAAGGCAGGAGCCCTGAGAGTTCACAGCGCTCAGCACGGCCCCCGGGGGAGCCCCCCCACACCCTCCAGAGGGTTTCTGGTGACCACGTGTCTTTTTCTGGGGACACCCCGGGGAAACCACTAGAGAGGAACAGAATGCTGCTTTGCTACCGTCTCATAGCAAAACCACATCTCCAGTACAGCAACGTGTACGGCAGGATAAAGAACCCGCACCGTGAGGAGCACAGTGCCGATTTCAATATAAAATAAACGCGCACATCCGCACTGTAAATATAGGCTATGTACAGAATTATAATAGAGAGAGAGCTACACGTATAAAGCTTCATTATAGGCCTCTGATACATTTATAATAACGGTTCCCTGAACCTCTTGAGAGTGCAAGTAAGGACAAAAACTAAACTCTGTTTCACGTGAAATGAGGAATAAATACGATAATCAAAATAGAACTCTTCCTAAAAGTGACACACACAAGCCGGTCCTGAACTGCGGTGCGGAAGGGGAGGTCGGGGAAGGCAAGGCTGCGGCGGGCACGGGCGGCTGCCCGGGCGGCGCTCGAGAACAGCGGAGACTGGGGTGGCGGCGGTGGGCACGGACGGGAGGACTCAGCCCTTGACAGCGACCTTGTTCTCGGAAGCAGCGAACATGGCGTAGAACCGGGAGCTGTCATTAGACAGCAGGACTGAGGGGGTGTCAAACTCCACCACCTGCAAAAAAAAAAAAAAAGCCATGCTCTCCAGCCTTTGATGGCAGCAGGACGTGGCCCGTGGCCTTGCACACGGCCGACCCCGGTTCGATCCCCGCTACTGCACACAGTCCTGTGAGAGCCGTCAGGAGTGAGCCTGTGGCTCGTCTGACTCTCCCTGAGGGACCTTGGACACAGTTGAGTGCATCGAGGGGTGCTCCAAATGCGACACCCCTAGAGACAGTGCAGTGGGTGAGGGGCTTGCCCTACTTTCTCCTCCTGCCCGGGGGCCATGGCAGTTGGGGGCATCTCAGCAGCTCAGCTTTCCCCGGGGTCTGCCCGTGCCCACCCCAGCCCCACTGTCCTCTCATACAACCATCCTAACGAAGGGCTCTCCCACCCGTCTGTATCCCCCGGAAGCTGCGGAGGAGACTGTATCTGGCTTGTCCTTCCGTTTCTTCGTTGTTAGGTCAGAGGCCCGCTCAGGGGCTCTGGCAGCACTCAGGGGCTTACCCAGTGCTAGCGATCTAACCCGGGACTGCCGTCTGCAAAGCAGGCGCTGCAAGGGCTGGATAGCACAGCGGGAAGGGCATATTTGCCTTGCACAAGGCTGACCGGGTTGGATTCCCAGTGTCCCATATGGCTCCCCAAGCACCGCCAGGAGTAATTCCTGAGTGCAGAGCCAGGAGCAGCACCTGTGCGTCGCTGGGTGTAACCAAAAAAAGCCATGCGCTCCAGCCTTTAAGCCACCTCCAGGGTCAGGGAGGTAGTCTGGCAGGCAGGGTGTTTGCCTTGCACGCGGCTGACCTGGGTTTGATTCCCAACGTTCCATATGGCTCCTCAACCCCTGCCAGAAGTGATTCCTGAGCACAGAGGAGTAAGCCCTGAGTAAGCGTAGTGTGAGGAGTGTGCACTGCTGGGCATGGCCCCAAACACAAGATTGGGAACAGCATGAGGGCAGATACAAATGCCCACTGCACACTGCAAAGAACTGTGTCCAAGGTCCCTCAGGGAGAGCCAGACGAGCCACAGGCTGTGGACACTAGCACGGAGGCTGCTATCTGTGGTCACCACATGCCAGGGCCAAGGAAGCGCATGGTGGGGGAGTGTTAACTGGCTAGAGAAGACTCATTTCCTCCTTCTGGTGCCACGTCCACCAGTGTAGAGGGGCTACTCCCAGCTCCGTGCTCAGGGGACCATGCAGTACTGGGGATGAAACCAGGGTCTCCAAACTCAGCCTGTGCAGCTAACTCTCCAGGCCCAGCTTCTCAAGAGCAACCAGACTGGGGCTGGTACAACAGAACAGCATGGGAGACATTGGCTTTGCCATGTGACTGACCCAGGCTCGATTCCTGGCATCCCATAGGGTCCCCAAGCACTGCCAGGAGTGATTCCTGAGTGCAGAGCCAGGAGGAAGCCCTGAGCATTGCCAGGTGTGGCCCCAAAGCCAAAACCACAAAACCAAACCAAAAAGCCCCAGAGCAACCAGCCTGGAGCTGCAGCGCTGCAGGCCCGCTCACATGGCAGCCGCTCACCCGCCCCTTGGGGGCTCAGTACCTGCCCCTGGGCCAGCACCATGATCCTGTCAGAGCCCAGGACTGTGTGCAGCCGATGGGCGATAGTCAGCATGGTGCAGTCGGCGAACGCCTCCCGGATGGTCTCCTGGACCAGTAAGTCCGTCTCTGAGTCCATGGCAGCGGTGGCTTCATCGAGAATCAGGATCTGCCGGGAGAGAGGAGGACGAGGGCTCCAACCCAGTCTCACTGTAGCTCTATGTGTGTGTGTGTGTGCGCATGTGCGCATGTGTGTGTGTGTGTATGCGTGCGTGCGTGCGTGCGTGCGTGCGTGTGTGTGTGTGTGTGTGTGTGTGGTGCGGGGGAGCAAACCCCAGGCCTCACACATGCAAGGCAAGTCTCCCCTGCTGAGCCACATCCCTCGCCCCAATTGATTCCTTCATTTTTCTAAGCGGGGGGCACACCTGGGTGTACTCAGGGGACAATATAGGACTCTGAGGATCAAACCTGGGTGATACCTGCAAAGCAAGAGCCTAACCACTGTACTGTCCCGCCCTCTCCCCTCCCCCGACAATTGATTCTGGAAGCATTCCAGTGAGTCTAGGTTTTACTGAAAATCAAATTACATAAATATCATACCAAAAATTGCCTTCTCCTCACTGGATACCCACAGCTGTCCAGTGCCCTTTGTGTAGAATGGATCTAAGTTCCAAACCATTTCTTTCCCTTTCGGGTTCTGTTCACAGACTTTGCATGTGATGCTCAGGGAGGAGCGTTCTCAGCCCTTCCTGCTCACTGCACACGTGCCCTTGCAGGCCCTTCTTTTCTCCGTTTATAAAGTGAAGGGGCTGGCTTTCACAACCCGGGTGCCTGGAACTTTGAAAAGTATATGGTTTTGTGCTCACCTTGGCTGCACAGATACTAAAAGTGCATGGCTTCTAGCACGGCAACTACTTACTGGCCAGAAACACAAGTCACTCCCCAAAAATGAGAGCTCGAGAAAGTTCAATATGCCAGAGCAATGACACGGTGCCAACCCAATAACACGGTGCGTAGGGTATTTGCCTTGCATCGCACCCTATATGATCCACCAGGAGTGAAACCTGAGTGCAGAGCCAGGAGTAAGCCTTGAGCACCACCAGGTGTGGCCCAAAACCAGGGGGGAAAAAAAGTTCAATTTAGAAACAGGATCCTGGGCTGGACGGATAATACAGCAAGTAAGGCTCTTGCACATGGCCAGCCTGGGGTCTATCGTTGGCAACCCATATGGTTCCCTGACCCCACAGGTAAGATCTCTGAACACAGAGCCAGGAGTAAGCCCTGGGCACTGCCAAGTGTGAACCCCTTAAAAATGACAACAGGGGCTGGAGAGATAGCACAGCGGGTAGGGCGTTTGCCTTGCACACGGCCGAGCCAGGTTCGATTCCCAGCATCCCATATGGTCCCCTGAGCACCGCCCGGGATAATTCCTGAGTGCAGAGCAAGGAGTAACCCCTGTGCATCGCCAGGTGTGACCCAAAAAGCAAAAATAAATAAATAAATAAATAAAACCGACAACAAAAATAGAACATCCTAATGGCTAGCCACTCCCTACCCCCACCCACTGTCCCTAACACTGCCAGGTTCACCGAGAAACATTTCTGGGCATGTTCTTTTTTTTTGTTTTTTCACACCCAAGTTTTATTTATTTATTTTTGGGTCACACCCAGCGATGCTCAAGGGTTCCTCCTGGCTCTGCACTCAGGAATCACTCCTGGCGGTGCACAGGTGGACCATTACAGGATGCCGGGGATTGAACCTGGGTCAGCGCATGCAAAGCAAGTACCCTCCCCGCTGTGCTATCGCTCCGGCCCCTCTGGGGACACTCTTTAAAGGTGCCCCTGAACTCAGGGCCAGGAAGGCCCTCAAGCTCGTGCCCCGGGAACAGGGTTTCCTTCCTCTCCACCCTCTTCCCCAGACCCACCTTACAGTGCCGGAGCAAGGCCCGCGCGATGCAGAGCAGCTGGCGTTCCCCCACTGAGAAGTTATCCCCATTCTCCATCACTTCAGACTCAAGTTTCAGAGGTAGCTGAGCGATCTAGAGAGAACAGGAGGAGAGAGCAAAAGGGTGAGAAAGAGTCAACGTTAGACGCTTTTAATTTTTAGAATTTCTTCTTCTACAAGAAGAAGGAACACTTGCGCACAGACCAAGCCCCCTGACTCTTCACAAAACTATTTGAACGAATCATGTCAGGAACACGTGATATAGAAAAATGCAGAAACAAAACCCGTATGGGTTTTGATGATCTCTGATCAGATGACGTGTTAGTAATGCCATGTATTCTTACTACTTTGATTTAGAGAAACTAAACGAAACAAACAAAACCAAAGAAACACAACCAGTATGGGTTTTGATGATCTCTGATCAGATGATGTGTCAGCAATGCTATGTATTCTTATTATTTTGGTGAAGATGGTACACCCAGGAGTGCTCAGGAACTACTCCGAGCATGATGCTTGAGGTGCTTGGGGGAACCAGGCAGTACTGGGATCGAACCAGGGCTTTTGCATGCAAAACATGGATGTTCCTGCCCTTTGAAACATCTCTCTGACCCTTATTTATTAATTTTGGTTTTTGTGCCACACCTGGTGGTGCAGAGGTTTTACTTCTGGCTCCGCACTCAGGAATCATGCAGCGGGACCCTCAGGGGTCATAAGAGGTACCAGGTATCAAGTCTGGGTCAGCTGCATGCAAGGCAAGCGCTCTACTCACTGAACTCTCTCTCCAGCCACTGGCCCTTCAATTTATTTATTTACCTTTTTCTAATGTAGCACTGCTATTTATTCAGCCATGGATTAAGCTGATTAAATTGTGGCCCTTCAATTTTTAAAAAACAAGAGCCACTGGGCCTGGGAGGATTCCCTCAGGCCCAGCAGACACTAGGACCTCCCCTGGGTGGTACTCAGGGTCCTGCACATTACAGGGATGAGACACAGGGCCTTGCACATGCCAGGGATGTGCTGAGCTACATCCTCAGCCAAGAGGTCAATTCTGATGCTCTCGGACATGCCAGGGGAGTCCTGCCCTGCAGCACTGTCCCACAAATGTCCTGGAGGCGGAGGTCAGGCCAGGTCAAGCCCGACAGGACAGGGAGAGGCAGTGTGGGCTGAGGCCTGAGCCCGCTTTCCTCTGCGCACATGCTCCCACCCAGTCTTACACATTCTTTCATGTGCGTCCTCTCCAGGGCATCCCAGATCTGGTCTTCTGTGTACTGCGTGAAAGGATCCAAGTTGGACCTGGAAAGAAACAGCAGAAGAGGCCCGGTGAGGGCACACGGAGACATGAGGGTCCGCTCGCCCCCCAGCCATATAGACTGGAGGGATTGGGGAGGGGTCTCCTGACGCAGGGTCGCCTGCGACAGACCAAACCCCTTTTCCACACCATAAACTCCATTTGAATGAATCATGTCAGGGACCTGGTTTGTTACAGAAAAATGAACAAACCAATGTGTATTTTAATGACCTCTGATTAGATCACTTGTCAGCATCAGATATATATATATATATATGTGTGTGTGTGTGTGTGTGTGTGTGTGTGTGTGTGGCTGGAGCGATAGCACAGCGGTAGGGCGTTTGCCTTGCACGCAGCCAATATGGCCGACCCGAGTTCGATTCCTCCACCCCTCTTGGAGAACCCGGCAAGCTACCGAGAGTATCTAGCCTGCACGGCAGAGCCTGGCAAGCTACCTGTGACGTATTCAATATGCCAAACACAGTAACAACAAGTCTCACGATGGAGACGTTACTGGGCCCGCTCGAGCAAATCGATGAACAACGGGAGGACCATGACCTACATATATATATATATATATATATATATATATATATATATATTTGCTTTTTGGGTCATACCCGGTGTTGCACAGGGGTTACTCCTGGCTCTATACTCAGGAATTACTCCTGGCAGTGCTCAGGGGATCACATGGGATGCTGGGAATCAAACCTGGTAGGCCGCATGCTAGGCAAACGCCCTACCCGCTGTGCTACTGTTCCAGCTCCTCAGCCATATATTCTTTTAGTTTTTAAACATTTTATTTAACTTTTATTGAGAGTTTGCCATGTCTGGCCCCAGACTGACTATAGGGAGGAGACGGAGAGAAAGAGAATGAAGGGGAAGAGAAGTAAAAAAGAGATGAAGGGGAGGGAGTCAAGGAGACCCAGGTAAACTGGTGATGTTAAGGAATGACTGAGCTAAATATCCGAGCCACAGCATTGGCAACACTGAAACCGTGAGGCCCAAATTTTAGGAACCAAATTTAAAAAGTGCCTGTCGAACTGGGGGACTGGGGCTCGGTGGGTGGGTAGGAGAGAGAACCTGGGGACACTGGCGGCGGCCACTGGTGATATCCTTCCAGTTCCTATTGCTTTGGTTTGTGGGCTCCATACTTGGTAGTGCTTGGGGGTCTTCCAGGCTCAGTGCTCAGGAGACCTTAGGGGACCAAAATCAGGGCCCCTTCATGAAAATCATGTGCTCTAGCCCTTTCGGCTATTACCGTGGGCCCTCTTTGTTTGTTTTTTGGGTCACACCCAGCGAAGCTCAGGGGTCACTCCTGGCTCTGCTGGGAATCAAACCCGGTTGGCCGCGTGCAAGGCAAACGTCCTACCCACTGTGCTATCACTCCAGCACCAGGCCCTCTCTTCTTTGGGAGTCTCCCAAGTGGTGCTCCCAGAAATTCAAGGCTGACGATTCACTGCAAAGACCAAAGATAGAGATGTGATGGTATTCAGAGGTTACCCCGTCACCCCACTGGGTCTGCCTGCCCTCTGCAAAAAACCGACACTCTAGAGACTCAAGGGATCACGCACATACATCACATATCTGAGGCTTTAAGTTAAATCCCCAGCATGATCAGGTGTGGCCCTTAATAAAAAAAAATCCATCACACTGTACAGCCTTAGAAAAAGTGAATTCTTTCTTCTCTTCAAGTTTCTGAGCTACACCCCCATGGTGTTCAGGGCTCTCTCCTAGTTCTATACTCAGGGATCATTCATGGTGGGACGGGGGTGCTGGGATCAAGCCTAGGTCTGCCACGTGCATGATCCCTCCAGCCCCACAGTCACAGGCAACTGACAGGAAGCTTCCACCCCAGGGACAAGCTCCAACAGCTGAAACTGAGGATGCATGGTCAGAGGGTTCCACCCTCAGGTTTTATCAAGGCCCTGAAAGTCATGGGAGTTATTCTCAACAACCAAGACCTTCTAGACCGAAAGAGTTTTTGTTAAGAAATATGCTTCACAGAGCTCTTTACAAGAGGCTTTTCTTTCTTTTGGGCTACATCTGCCAGGGATCACTCCTGGCAGTGCTCAGGGGACTGTGCAGGGTCCATGAATTGAACCCAGGTTGGCGGTGTGAAAAGTGGGTAAGGACCCACTGTACCATCCTATGATCTGCGAACAAGCTTTTGGAAATCCTTATCAAACCAAGAAAGAAGGGGCCCCAGCAGGCGTGGCCAAGACAGACCTGCCCTTCCGGTCTGACCTCAACAGGGAGCCCCATCAGGAAGGGAAGAAAGGAAAATGCACTGTCCACAGAGAAGCCACAGACAGAAACAAGAATGGCAGAGTCGGTGTCCATTCTGTCCACAGATGGGCGCAGGCAGAGACAGAAACACGAGTGCACCATGGGCTGGAGAGACAGTGCAGTGGGGAGGTGCTTGCCTTGTATGTGGTCAACCTGGGTTTGATCCCCGACACCCCATATGGCCCCCAGAGCAGTGCCAACAATGATCCCTGTGCACAGCGCTAGGAGTAAGCCCTGAGCACCAAAGTCTTGAGCACAGCATTTGGGAGGGAGGCAGGAAGGAAGAAAGGAAGGAAGGGAGGGAGGGAGGAAGGGAGGGAGGGGTGGCGGCAGGCAGGCTATAAAACATGAAGGTCTTTTTTTAACACTCAGCATGCAGGGTCCAAGTGCTGGCAAAATACAATTTCCTCTTGGGTTCGCTGTTTTCTTTTTCCCTGGGGTGGAAGCTTCCTCTAAGTTTGCTGTGACTGAGGGGCTGGAGCGATCACACAGCGGGTGGGCTGCAGGCCTTGCACGCGGCCGCTTGCCAGGCACTGCCAAGCAAGGGCAGAGATTATCTCCCAGGGCTCAAGGTGGTACTACCCGTGGGGCAGGAGCATCCCAGCCACCTGGTCCTCAGAGCAGGCGACTGAGATTCACAGAGCCACTGCTTTCAGGAAATGAGAGAGAGGCTCCAAGGAGGCGTTCAGATAAGGCTTGATTTGGGCTGTAATAAGTTAAGAGTAGAATAAGGAGCCAGGGATGCTGCTCGGGGGTAGAGTGAGAGTCTTTCAAGTTTAAGCAATGCGTGGTATGCCCGTCTCCTCAAATAAAGAGTAAAGTTGGGCCAGAGAGATAGTGCAGGGGTGAAAGCACAAGCCTTATATGGGGCCATCATCTGGTACCACATGAGATCTTCTGAGCATAACTAGGCGTGATCCCTGAGCATAGAATCAGGAGTAAACCCCGAGCATCAGTGAGTTTGCTTCTCCCCGACCCCCCAAAATAAAAAAAAAACCCTCCACAAAAAGCCAAAAATAGAAACAAAAATTAGTTTCTAAAAAAAGTTATGGGGGCTGGAGTGATAGCATAGCGGGTAGGGCGTTTGCCTTGCATGCAGCCAACCCGGGTTCGATTCCAAGCATCCCATATGGTTCCCCATGCACCGCCAGGAGTAATTCCTGAGTGCAGAGCCAGGAGTAATGCCTGAGCATTGCTGGGTGTGACCCAAAGAGAAAAAAAAATAAATAAAAATAAAAATTAAAAAAAAAAAAAATAAAGCTATGGTGAAAAAAGTCAAATAAGAAAGCTCTGGAGTGCCTGATTTGCTTCCAGGAGGCCCAAGATTGATCCTTGGTTCTACTTGGGTTTCCTCAGTACCACTGGGGGTGACTCTCCCCCCAGTACAGGGTCGGAAGTAGTCCCTGAGCATCGCTGGGTAGGGAGCACTAGCTCAGCAGGCTGAAGGTAAGCTCTGCTCATTGGAGGTTAGGGTTTGAGCTCTGAAGACCACAATGCTACCTGCCAGCAGAGCCCGGAGTAGCCCCAGAGCAGTGCCACTGGGTGTGACCCCCCAACAATAGACAGGGGGGAAATAGTCAAATAAACACAAATCTACATGGATTCAAATAATGGCCTTGACGAGCTGGCTGGCAGCAGTGCCTCCCGTCTTCCAGCAGTGCGTGCCCACCCATCAGCTCCAGAAGCGCCCAGCTCACAGACCCCAATGAAGTGACATGAAGTCACATTTTGACATGAAAACAGGCTTTTCGGAGAGAGCATAATCAAGGGAAGCGCAAAGTTCCCTGTGCCCTGTTTCCAAATGACCATAGGATTTACAAAATACAATTCTTTTCTTCTGGACCCAAAATAATACAGCCAATTTTATCCTCAAAGGTGTTTCTGTGTGGCACCTAAAAATAGGCGTATGGAGGGGCCAGAGTGACTGTCCAGAGGACAGGGTGCTTACTTTGCACACAGCCAACCTGGGTTTGATCCCCAGCACCCCAGAGGTTCCCCAAACCCTGCCTGGAATGATCCCTGGATGCAGAGCCAGAAGTAACCTGAGGACAACCAGGTGTGGCCCCCAAATGAAACAAAAACAAAAAATAGACTTATGGGAACCAGGAAGAGCAGCAGCAACAACTTTGGTTTCTGTTTTTTAAATTTTATTTTGGGGGCTGGAGTGATGGCACAGCAGGTAGGGCGCTTGCCTTGCACGCGGCCGACCTAGGTACGATTCCAGCATCCCGTATGGTCCCCCGAGCACCGCCAGGAGTAATTCCCGAGTGCAGAGCCAGAAGTAACCCCTGAGCATTGCTGGGTGTGACCCAAAAAGAAAAAAGGTAAAGGCCCTCCCGTTGATCGTCGATTTGCTCGAGCGGGCCCAGTAACGTTTCCATTGGAGACTTTGTTGTTACTGTGTCTGGCATATCGAATACTCTCGGTAGCTTGCCAGGCTCTCCGAGAGGGGCGGAGGAATCGAACTCGGGTCGGCCATGTTGGCCGCTTGTAAGGCGAATGCCCTACCCGCTGTGCTATCGCTGGAGCCATAGCGATAGCACAAAAAGAAAAAATTTTTTTTAAAATTTTACTTATTTTTTTGCTTTTTGGGTCACACCCAGCAATGCAGAGGAGTTACTCATGGCTCATGCACTCAGGAATTACTCCTGGTGGTGCTCGGGGGACCATATGGGATGCTGGGAATCGAACCCGGGTCGGCCGCGGCAAGGCAAACGCCCTACCTGCTGTGCTATCACTCCAGTCCTTGTTTTTTAAATTTTAGACTGAAGTAGAATCTCTTCTGCTGTTTCTGGTGTGGCCTATTATCTTAGCAAGCAAGAAACCCTCTCAGGCTGATAATATTCATTAATATTTTAGAGAAACATCAAAAAGTATTGGTCATGGGTAAGAATGGAGGTGAGAATGCAGATTACCTACCAAATCGCTTAGAATCAGTGAGTTCAAATGCTGTTTCTGAAGTAAAAGCAAGGGGGGGTTCAGGGGACCATGTGGGGGTGGCTGGGGGAAGGACCTCACTTTTTAGACAAGTCTGAACAATGTCCCAAGTTATTTCAAATTAAGTTCTTTTCTTTCTTTACCCTGGAAACTGCTAAAAATGGAAGAGGAAACGGATGTCTCAATTTTATAGACTGATTAAAAAAAAGGAAGTCCAATCTAGGTCAGCTGTATCATTAAAGCTGATTTTATTTTGAAGGAGAGGCAGCTTTCAGAGTAATATAAATTGAGGAAAAGTATTACTTCTGGAGGAGAAGCTTAAGAGTTGGGGTGGAATACAGATAAAGATCATGGAATTCCTACCTTAATAGTTTTCTACCTATTAAAACTTCCTACTGTAATAGGTCAAGAAGAGGAATTTTTATTTACTTTTTTTTTTTTTTAGCCAGACCCAGCGTTGCTTAGGGCTTACTCCTAGCTCTGTGTCAGGCATCATTCCTGGAGGGGTTCAGGGGACCATGTGGGGGGGCCTGGGGATTGAATCTAGATTGGCCATGTGCAAGGCAAGTGTGTTACCCTCTGTACTATTCTCTGACTCTTCTTAATTTATATATATATATATATATATATATATATATATATATATATATATATAATATATATATATATATTTGGTTTTTGGGCTACACCTGGCAGTGTTCAGGTCTTACTTCTGGCTTTGCACTCAGGGGTCACATGGGGTGCTGGGAATTGGACCTGAGTCAGTTGTGTGCAAGGCAAGCACTCTACCCCTTAGTACAATCAATCCTTCTCTTAAAAAAAAATGTTCGGGGCTGGAGCGATAGCACAGTGGGTAGGAGCATTTGCCTTGCATGCAGCCAACCCGCGTTCATGTCCCAGCATCCCATATGGTCTCCTGAGCACCGCCAGCAGTAATTCCTGAGTGCAGAGCCAGGAAGAACCCCTGTGCATCACTGGGTGTGACCCAAAAAGCAAATAAATAAAACATTTAAAAAATGTTTGGTTTGGGGGCCACCCCTGCTGTGCTCGAGGGACGGGGCGTGGGCCTCCCACACCGAGTCTCTCCCGTGCCCGGTCCTCTGCATTTTCTCTCAGGCTCATGAGGAGGAAGCTTATTTTTGGCACAACTGGCAGAGTTTAGAAAGCGGCATCATTTGAGAGTGTTGAAGGTGGGGGAAGGTACGGGGAAATGAAAAAACAGAGCAGGCACCACGCCCAAAGCGTTCTGAGAGCAGAGAACGGCTGGGCCCCAGCCTGGAGTGAAGGAAAGGGGGAAGGGCAGGGCCGGTGACTGCCACTGTGTGAGTGAGGGGCGCCCATTCCAGCTCTGAGCTAGGACATAGGGTGTGAACTTGCTCCTAATCACCCCACAGATCTTCAGAATATCCCACATTCATGCTCTGGGGGCCTTGAGGGATGGTACCTGGCAGCGCTCAGGGACCATTTGTAGAGCTGGGGATCAAACAGGTGTGCAAGGCAAACACCGTCCCTGCTGCGCTGTCTTTCTGGCCCTGGACGACCCCCCATTTACGGATGAGAGTTCTGAGCAGAGGAGGGATGAAGCCACAGGGCAGAGGTCGGAGTTCACATCTGACCTCTTTCCCAGGATGCTCCAGGGCCTCTTCATGTTAAGGAAGTGGCTGGTGGTACCAGAGAGATGCCAGCACCCCATACTTCAGCAGTGCAGGGAAGCATGAGGTGCCGTGGGAAAGCCCCGCACCCCAGGAGGCCAGCACTGGGCCCTCACCTGACCGTGCCGCTGAACAGCACCGGCTCCTGCGGGATGATGGAGAGTTTGCTCCGGAGGTCAGCCAGGCCGATGTCACTGATCCTCACCCCATCTATCTTGATGCAGCCTCCACATAACTCCACCAGCCGGAACAGGGCCATCCCCAGGGAGGACTTGCCTGAGGAGGGAGGAGATATGAAGGAAAGGAGCTCAAGGCACTGCATCTTTGAGGACCGGGGAGCTCAAGGCATTGCATCTGTGAGGACCGGGGAGCTCAAGACACTGCATCTGTGAGGATCTTGCTGGGTTTTCTACCTCAGCAGAGTGGACTGCCTTTAGTGGATCTTTATTTTGACTGAAGTAGAAAATGATTTCATCTCAGTCACTATCTCGGCTGGATCCGACTGAGCTAATGTATGAAACAAGAGCTAGAACAGAAAAGACAATGAACATCCCTGTCACAGCTACTGTGGATCAAGCACCGACAGGTCAATCCTTCATATAAGGCCTGAGAAGGAGAGGGAGGAAGCAGGACTCCTCGGGAGCATCCGGTATAAACAGGCTCCTCTGTGCCTCAGGGTCGGGCACGCAGGGCTCAGGGCTCCGAGGCCAGGTGCCGAGACCCGCGACCTTGATCTTATAGTCAGGAGGGAGAAACCAGGGTCTTTGTTCTGCTCTGTCCTGACTATCGCCAAGAGAGACACACAGCAAGGCTTCGCATGGCCCTGGCAGCAACTGGAGGACTGACACTCTGACTCAGAAGGGAAGGTGTTGGCTGCAGAGAGAGGCAGGGCGGCCGCCTGGGCGGGGCTCTGAGCCTCGTCTAAGTGAGGCCCTGGGTTTGACCCCGAGTACTGCCTCCTAACAAAGAAAGAAAGAAAGAAAGAAAGAAAGAAAGAAAGAAAGAAAGAAAGAAAGAGTGGGTTAGGGGATAAAAAAGGAGTTGTGTATAGTGATGGTAAACCTAACAGCTGTTCTTTTTTTTTTTTTCTGCTTTTTGGGTCACACCTGGTGATGCACAGGGAATTACCCCTGGCGATGCTCAGGGGACCATATGGGATGCTGGGAATCAAACCCGGCTCAGCTGTTTCAGTCGTACAATGATCAAATACCCATCCCTCCACCAGGGCACATTCTCCACCACCAATGTCCCCCGTAAACCCCCCCCATCCCACCCTCTCCCTGTTTCTATGGCAGACAATTTCCCCCTTACTCTCTCTCTACTTATGGGTATTATGGTTTGATTCTTAACCGAATCTTTATGTGAACAATTATGTAATTCAAGACAATAACTCCAGTCCCCCCCCCCCCCCACCTCACTACCGCCGATTCCTGACACATTTGGCCTATCCGTCTTTTTTCTCAGAATTGAGATCATCCTAAGACACAATAAATGAAGCACTATTTAAAAAAAAAAAAAAACCTTACATTATATAACACTCACTCAACCATTTTTTTAAAAAAATCTTTTCTTTCTTTTTGAGGTGCTGGGGATTAAACCCAGGGCTAAAACGTTTTCAAGTTAAAATCTTTGTGTCTGTGACATATGTCCTCAGGTGGCTGCACTCTTGTTCCACCGCCCCACAGTGTCAGACATTTAGTTGACCCCAGACTTACTACAACAATGTTGTGGAGCCTCGTGCTCAGCCTTGGCTCCTACCTCAGATGCTTTCCTGGGGGCAGATTCAGGAATGTCCAAAGAACAGGGGCGCCATATGCACACAGTGTCTGACACTGCTCTGGTTACTTTTCATCAATCCTTTACATCACGGCTGAGGTGCCTGTTTCGAGTGGCTGAAGTACCTTCCCTCACGTGGACACGGGGCCCCCACCATCCTCCCGCCTCACCCCAGAGCTACTTTGTCTAGCCAGCAGCCAGGAGGGAACAAATACCCTGCTTCGCATCTGGGTCAGCAGCCACACCCTGGGCAGAACCCCTGTCAAGCCACTTCGCGGGAACCCCGAAACACCCCTCTTCCAAAGGGCGCCAGACACCAACTTGAGCTGGGGGTTTGAGTCTGAATGTAGCAGACAGTTCCCACTGAGGCCATCTCCTCTCTGGAACACAGTTTCCTCCTGGGTCTCTGGTAGGCAGTCCCTTCTCTAGTCATGAGGGACTGCCAAACAGGGAGGGCAACAGAGATCTTTTAAAAAAAACTTTTGATTAGGCACCAGGGTTGACAAGACTATTCCTGGCACCTCTCACGGGCGTGAGGCGGGTTCTAACTCCAGCACGGCCAAAATGAAAGAACAGAACTGCACAAGACAAGGCCTCTGTGACTACTGACTACTGTGGTGTGTTTACCTCCTGTAGGGGAAGGCAGGGACATGAGGCAGAGCTCTGGAGGGTGGAACTCTGATTGGAAAGTGGGAACTTGAGGGAGAAAGCATTCAGCGCTTTGGGCCTAATCACTTCTTTTCTTTTCTTTTCTTTTCTTTTCTTTTTGCTTCTTTTTTGGTCTTTGGTCCATTCCTGGCAGTGTTCAGGGCTTACTCCTTGCTCTGTGCGCAGGGGTCACTCCTGACAAGCTCAGGGGACCACATGTGGTGCTGGGGTTGAACCCTGGGTAGCTGTGTGCAAGGCAATCACCCCGCTTACTGCACTATCACTCCAGGCCCCTGGCTAACATTCTTTCCAGTGTGAAAAAATCCAGAGGTGCACCAGCGAGACAGAGTAGGAGTTATGGCAATTGTCTTGCACATGGCTGAGCCTGGTTCAATGTTGGCACCGCACATGGTCCTACGAGCACTGAACAAGGAGGGATCCCTGAGCACAGAGCCAGAAATAAGCCCTGAGTACCCTGGGTGTGGCCCAAACAAGAAAAAAAAATCTAGAAGCAGAGTCCTATTTTAACATGAAACAAATTATTTCTGCTAGGAAATGGCACCCTTTCTTCATACCAATTTCACTGGTCAGAAAAATAAGAGATTTGTATAATTTATGCCGGCTAAGTCCCAAAAGGCAATATTATTATTATCATTTTTTTGTTTTTGGGCCACACTCAATGGTGCTCATGACTTCCTGGGTCTGCACTCACAGATCACTCCTGGTGGGGTTCAGGTGGCCATACAGGGTGCCAGGAATCCAGCCCGGGTTGGCTGTGTGCAGGGCAAGCACCTTAGCCATTGCACCATCTCTCCAGCTCCTTTTATCATCATTGACCTCACTTGGTGATGCTCGGGGATCATGGTCACCAGTGCTCAGGGGATCACACAGTGTCAGGGGCCAAACCCAGGCCCTCCCACTGAGCCATCTCTTGGCCCCAAGGCACTTTTTCAGAAGGCAAAAGTAACAGACTGAAGACCATGCAGTGTGAGGAATTGATCCACCACTTGAAAGGCAAATACCTTAATCCCTGCAGTACTTGTCTGGCCCTGAAGGAATACTTTTATGATTAGAAAAATGTCATGAAAGCAGGGTTGAAAGTAAGCTTTAAAGTTGGTTTCACAAAAGACCCAAGACACTGGTCCCTTGTGGCATGGTGAGCTAGTTGGCACGGTAAGAGAGCAAAGGTCAATGAAGAGCAAGTCAGAGTCCCCGGTGTACCCAGAGCAGCTTGGAGAAGTACGTGCAGAGAGGGACACACACACATATACCGAGGTGCCTGCAGAAAGGCCTTTGTACACATGCATGCACGCGCACACAGACAGACACACACACACAGACACAGACACACACACAGACACACACAGACACATGCGCTTACCTGATCCCGTCCGGCCCACAATGCCAATCTTCTCCTTTGGTTTGATGGTGAAGGACACTTTCTTCAGGACCAGGGGGAGGTTTTCCTGGTACCTCATTTCTGCATTCTCAAAGGCCACTTCTCCTTCCTGAGGCCAGTCAGGGGAGGGAGCCTTGTTCTTAATCCTGGCAGGTGCTTCCAGAGAGAGCGTCTGGGGAGAGAAAAGGGGCCAGGTCAGACTGCCCACAGACTCGAGGGGCGCTGCAAACGAACCAAGACGACCCTCGAGGCCACACTGAGGCAGCAACTGTTTATTTAATGGAATCTATTTTTGCCGGTGCTGGGGACTGAACCGGGGCCTCAGATGTGTGAAGCATGTGCCCTACCATTGGCTCCATCCTCTGACAGAGCAAAGGCTCACCACCAGGACCCTGGTGGGGTTCAGGTGGCCATACAGGGTGCCAGGAATCCAGCAGACACAGCACCGTGGCGACCACATTTCCATTTAGAGTTTCCAGGGTCTACTAAGCAGTCATAAGTGAGGACTGCAGCTTCACTTCAACACTGCCCGTTTTCCTTTTCTCTCTCTCTCTTCTTTTTTTTTTTTTTGGTTTTTGGGCCACACTTGGCATATTCAGGAGTTACTCAGGAATCACTCGTGGTGGGGCCTGTGGGGACCACATGCATGCCAGGGATCAAACTGGGGTTGTCTGTGGGCAAAGCTAGTGCCTCTTTTTTTGTTTCTTGGTCACATGGGGGATGTGCTCAGGGTTTACTCCTGGCTCTGTTCTCTGGGTCCTGGTGATGCTTAAGGGACCATACATGGTATCAGGGATCAAAGTTGGAGCAGCCATAAGCAAGGCAAACACCTTAACCCGTGCACTCTCTCTTTTAACCCGTGCACACTTTTAAGAAACAACTTAAAAGGAGTTCAGAGGAACAGACTTTTAGATTTGTAACAAGTCCTGGGGAGAGAGGGTATGACCTGGTAGGGGCCACAATGATAGTACCTCAGTCAGGGCTTTTGCCTTACACGTGGCTGACCTGAGTTCAATCCCTGGCACCCCAACCTACCAGGAGTGATCCCTGAGTGCAGAGCCAGGCGTAAGCCCTGAGCACCACCACGTACAAGCAGACCCCCAACCCAAAACCAAAACCAATCGTAGGCAAATGTTGAATGTGTTGGCTGAACCAAACTAACAAGATTATGAAAGCTTTGGAAACTGGCTGGTGAACCGAAGTTCTCTTTGTTTGTTTTGAGAAGCAGATCCAGAGGCGCTCAGGGCTTACTTCTTGCTCTGTGCTCAAGAATAACTCTTGCAGGTCTCTTGGGGATCATATGTGGTACCCAGGTCTACTGCATGCCAAGGCGAAGCTCTACCCACTGTGCTATCTCTCCAGCTCAGAACCAAAGTTATTCATCAGGCATAATTCACAAATACACTTAGAAACCTTCATGCTATTCTCTCTTCCATGCCACCCATATTGGGGAGACAGATGGGCCCACTCCCCACCCAAGAAGAGCAAAGGAAACAAGGGGCTTTGGACCTCGCCAGGCCACCGTGCCCAGGACGATGCCCCACGGCGGCAGACCGACCTTGATGTAGTGGTTGATCCTCTCCACAGAGGTGAAGCGAGCTTCGGTCTCGGAGGCCAGTCTGACAGTGAACTGGAACAGCCCGGTTAACTGGTGACAGAAAGCAAAGCTCTGTAAGGGAGTTTGTTATCACGACACCCCGGGCATCAGCCAAAAAATTCTCCCTGCAGGGGGCCAAAGCGGGTTCCTGGAGGAACCAGCTGGGCACAGATAGCAACTGGAAAAAAGACATTCTCTTTATTTATTTATTTTGCTTTTTTTGGGTCACATCCAGCAATGCACAGGGATTACTCCTGGCTCACGCACTCAGGAATAGCTCCTAGCGGTGCTTGGGGGACCATATGGGATGCTGGGAATCGAACCCGGGTCAGCCGTGTGCAAGGCAACCGCCCTACCCGCTGTGCTATTGCTCCAGCCCCTTTATTTTTTTTTATTGAATCACCATGAGATACAGTTACAAGCTTTCATGTTTGAGTTACAATCATACAATGTTCAAACATCTCTTCACCATCTCTTCACCAGTGCACATTCCCTATCCCCAATCTCCCCAGTATACCACCCTTTCCCCTCCTCCCCCTGCCTCCCTGGCAGACAATTTCCCCCATACTCTCTCTCTACTTTTGAGCATTAGAGTTTGCAATACAGATACTGAGAGGCCATCACGATTGATCCTTTATCTCCTTTCAGCACACATCTCCCATCCGGACCAATCCCTCCAACCATCCTTGACTCAGTGATCCCTTCTCTATCCCAGCTGCCTTCTCCCCCAGCTCATGAGGCAGGTTTCCAGGTATGGAGCAGTATTCCTGGCCCTGTGTCTACTGCCCTTAGGTGTCAGTCTCATGTTATGTTATGTTATTTATTTTTGCTTTTTGGGTCACACCCGGCGATGCAAAGGGGTTACTCCTGGCTCTGCACTCAGGAATTACCCCTGGCGGTGCTCAGAGGACCATATGGGATGCTGGGAATCAAACCTGGGTTGGCTGCGTGTAAGGCAAATGTCCTACCCGCTGTGCTATTGCTCCATGCCCTCATGTTATTTTATACTCCACAAATGAGAGCAGTCCTTGTATGTCTGTCCCTCTCTTTCTGACTCGTGGCCCCCAGAGCTGCAATCTGGGGTGCAGCTGCGTCAGAGCTTTCCTGCTCTCATTCTTTCCACTTCTGGCCACTCCACTCAGGGCTCAGGGCTCGGGCTTTCCTCCTGTGCCTGCCCCTGCCATGGGCACCACACACATGCACACAGGGCTGCCCATGGCAACTCAAGGAGAGCCCCCAGGAAGGCCAGTGAAGGAAAGCGAGTGAAGTGAGTGGCCCCCAGCCATGGCAGCGCCTCCGGGCATCTGGCACCAGGAGTGGGAAACGGGACTTACAGACACGCTCCCCCATCCTAGGAGCCACAGCAACCTACACCAGGGGCCCCGCTAGGTGTCTCTGAAGATCCACAGGTGCTGGCTTTCCTTTGGCCGCTTTTTTTTTTTTAAAGAAAAACTGCAAACCTAGATGAGAGGTCAACAAAGTGAACTCCTGCACCTTGAAAAATCGGCAACTTGTGCTGGAGCCATAGTACAGCGGGTAGGGCGCCTGCCTTGCATGCAACCAACCCAAGTTCATCCCTGGCATCCCATATGATCCCCTGTGCACTGCCTGCAGTAATTCCTGAGTGCAAAGCCAGGAGTAACCCCTAAGCGTCCCCCGGTGTAACCCAAAAAGCCAGAAAAAAAAAAAGAAAGAAAAAGAAAAAAAGGCCATTCAGGGCCAGAGTGACAGTACAGTGGGTATGGCATTTGCAGACTCAGGTTCAATCCCCAGCACCCCATCTGGTCCCCTGAGACCTCCAGAGTGATCCCTGAGCTTAGATTCAGTAACAAATCAGTAGTAAGCAGAGAACTGCTGGATATGGCCTAACCCCCACCCCCTAAAAAAGAAACCAAAAAATTGGCAACTCCTAGACAGTCTTCTATGAAACACTGTCCCATCCTTCCATTATTATCTGGAAACAAGTTAGAGTCACCATATCATTACACTAATAAGTACTTCACTTTACATCTCCCTAAACTATAGAGACTGCCATCACTTCTAGAAAAAAATAATGTTCATTCCTTCAACTCAACTACCTAATCAGTGCTCAAGTTCCACTTATTCTTTGAAGACCTTTAAAGACCTTTGAAAACCTTCAACCATCCCTGGGACAGGAAGGGTCCATAGATGCAACCGTATTTGAAAATTGGGAGCCTGGAGAGAGGCATAGAGGGGATATCAGGTTTCTAAGAAGGAAAAGGCCAAAGATAGTGGTGAGAAACTATTCTCAGAGGCCAGAGAGGTGGTATATGGGGTTAAGGTACTTGACTGCGCGTGGCAGACAGACCCGGGGCATCAACCCCTGAGCATGGCTGACTACGGCCTCCCAACCAAATACAAACTAACAAACCAAGGCCAGAACAATCTCTCTCAGATGGGGACATAGAAAGGGAGTAATGGATGGTCGGAGACAACAGAACCTGAGAACTGGTCTATAGCACTGGCCTATAGTAGAGGGGAGGGGACCCCGAGACAGTGGAGGAAGTGGATGCTCTGTTAGGGGGGTGTAGTAGTGGAAGGTTGTATGCATGAAACCACATCATAAAAAGAACTGTAAACCAGGGTACTTGAAATAAATATTTTTTTGGGGGGGGGATCACACCTGGTGATACTCAGGATCTGCACTCAGGAATTATTTCTTTTTCTTTTTTTTGGGGGGGGGGGAATCACACCTGGCGATGCTCAGGGGTTACACCTGGCTCTGCACTCAGGAATTATTACTGGTGGTGCTAGGGGGACCATATGGGATGCTGGGAATTGAACTCGGGTTGGCCGCATGCAAGGTAAATGCTGTGCTACTGCTCCAGACCCTCAGGAATTATTTCTGGTGGTGCTTCAGGGGATCATATGGAATGCCAGGGATCAAACCTAGGCAGCCACATGCAAGACAAGTACTCTAGTCGCTGGACTACACACACACACACACACACACACACACACAAACACACACACACACACCAATTTTTTTTTTTTTTTGCTTTTTTGGTCACACCAGCGATGCACAAGGGTTATTCCTGGCTCATGCACTCAGGAATTACTCCTGGCGGTGCTCAGGGGACCATGTGGGATGCTGGGAATTGAACTCGGGTGGGCTGCATGCAAGATAAATGCTGTGCTACCGCTCCAGACCCTCAGGAATTATTTCTGGTGGTGCTCCAGGGACCGTATGGGATGCCAGGGATCAAACCTAGGCAGCCACATGCAAAGCAAACACCCTACTCACTGGATTACACACACACATACACATACACACACATACACACACACACACACACACACACACCAATTTTTAAATTTTTTTTTGCCTATTTTTGAGGGGGGTTCCCACCCAGCAATGCTCAGGGGTTACTCCTGGCTCTGCACTCAGGAATTACTCCTGGCAATGCTTGAGAGTTCATATGGGATGCTGGGGATCAAACCCAGGTTATGGTTTGGAGGCCGTGTACAAAGCAAACGCCCTCCCCTCTGTGCTATCGCTCTGGTCTCCCAATTTTTTATAGAGAAAAAAAAGCTCCTGTTTTTAACATGCACCCAAGAGAGTGCAACACCTTTGCTCCTTCGGGCCACTATGTCCCCCCTGCCCAGCTACGTCCCGCCTGTCCCTTCTAAAGCAGATGAGTAGAAGCGCAGGAGGGGAGGGGGAGCAGTGGCTGGTCCCCAAGCAGCCCCCCACCCCCCTGCGACCCCGGCCCGCACAGGAAGGACTCAGAGGCACCCAGGGCGCGGCCCTGCCCCCCGAGCCTGACCTGGACAGCATAGGAGATGGCAAGGCCCGAGTAGGCCGGTGGGATCTGCCCGTGCATGAGCACGATCATCAGCGCGGTGGTGGTGATGAGGGCGATGCTGATGAGGTCCAGTCGCACAGCCAGCCACCGCATGGCACAGGTGAACAGGAAGAAGGGGCCCTGGTTGCTATCCAGTAGCCTCTGGTACCTGGGAGGAAGACAGCAATGCACTGAGCAATCAGATACCCCCAGCCTTGGTCTCAGATGCTGGGCCAGTTCAGATGGATTAGGATGGAGGGAAGATATTTAAGCACCCCTGTCAGTAACTGGGAGAATGGGATGGAGATTTGCGCCTCTCAGAGTGTCCCAGGTGCCACACCAGAAGGACATGGGGTTTCTAGTCTTACACAAGAAAAAGACCTGGGGGCGAGCTCAGTGACTTCATATCTGCCTTGGAAGTGTTAGGTCTGGAGTTCAATTCCTGGAGCTGCCACATGTGCTCGGTACTGTCCTGACAGCTCAGCCACCTTGAACCTGGAACTACAACTAAAGAGTGTGACCCGCGGGGTCCAGGGCGATAGTACAGCAGCTAAGGTGTTTGGTTTGCATGCAGTTGACTCAGGTTCGATCTCAGGCTCCCATTTGGTCCCCCAAATCCCACCAGAAGTGATCCCTGAGCACAGAGACAGGAGTAAGACCTGAGCACGGCTGGGTGTGGCCTCCAAACCATCCACCCACACAAAAAAAATCATGGGCTAGGCATGTGGCTCAGTGGTAACACGCCTAGCACGTGTGAAACTTCAGTCTAATCCCTAGGACTGCAAAAGGAAAACAAGCCAACACTTGTCTTTCTTTAGACTAAACTGAAGAATATGCAGTAAAGAAGAGGAAAATGAGAAAGTTTAGTAAAGTCACCTCTCAGTTCAAGCCAAAGTTCAGCTGCGTGTTTCGAGGCACTTATGTTTATGTGCACAGACACGTATGAACATTTTTTTGTTCCTCACTTGAAGCTTATAAAGAAATAAAGAGATACTTTATCACTGAGTCACATCCCCTGGTACTTTCCTGAGCTGTTTAGCCTGATCTTTCCACTGCAGACTCTCTTCCTTTTATTGGGGGGAGGGGAGAGGCGGTTCCCAAGTGGTGCTTCAGGGCATCTATGGCTACACCTGGTGATGCTCGGAGGGTAATGGGGTGCTGGGGCTGGACCCCGCATCCTGTACTCATCCTGCTCCCTAACCTGGCTCCAGAGGCAGCTTATTGGGCCAGTCCTTTAATGAACAACACTTCAACTACTTCTAATCTCTTGAGAGTATGTATCTTTATAATACAGACCTATGCCAAAAAATTTCTCAAGAACATTTCCAACAGGCTGCTGGATGAGAGCTCCAAGGGCTGTGGTTTTGCACAACCACCCTGATGGCTGGTCCCAAACAGAGTTGAAAATGACAGAGCATGGGGCCAGGAAGTTAGCTGAGGAATGGAAGACTTAATTTTCATGTGTGAGGCCCTGGGTTTGATTTCAGCACCACAAAGAACAAAACAAAATGAAGAAAAAGCACAACAGCTAAATAAAATGGTAGAGGAATGATATGACCTGCTTTAACTGTTCAAAAAAAAAATTAAAAAAATTTTTTAAAAAACTGCACAATTCAGGCTGGAGCAACAGCACAGTGGGTAGGGCGTTTGCCTTGCACGTGGCCGGCCTGGGTTCAATTCCCAGCATCCCATATGGTCCCCTGAGCACTGCCAGGGGTAATTCCTGAGCACAGAGCCAGGAGTAGCCCCTGTGCATCACCGGGTGTGACCCAAAAAGCAAAAAAAAAAAAAAAAAAAAAAAAACAAAACTGCACAATTCCATCAAATAGCCATTCAGGACCAAACAGCAACATGTGAAACATGTTTCTGTCTTCTTTGCTCCAAGAGAGATCTACTAAGTCAGTTTTATTTTCTTTTAGTGTGTGTGTGGGGGGGAGGGGGGTGCTCTCAAGCAATTCTCAAAGGACCCAGGGGCAAGTTCTGGTAATGTTCAGCCTAGCTATACGGACTGGAGGTACTGATGGTACTGGACCCAATGATACTGATGGTACCAGGGCCCACCAGGGTCACCCCAGCCATACTTGGGAGCGAGCAGGGATACAGTTGGCAGTGCTGGGGGTACGATATGGTGCCAAGGACAGAACTCAGGGCCTCTGCATGACAGGCAATGCACTGCATTCCAATCTTAAGAGCCATTTTCCCTGGCCCTTAAGCATGTACTTTTTGGATTACATTTTTGGGCGCGTTGGGGTAAGGTTTTAGCCAGGGGATCAGGACTGCTGCTGGCTCTGGACTTAGAGGGATCGTTCCCAGTGAGGCTCAGGGTACCAGATGAGAAACTGAGGTTGAACCTGGGTCAGCTACAGACAAGGCAAGCACCTTACCTGTCATCTCTCCAACCCCTTAAGCAAGTACCTTTTATTTCTCTATTAAATTTCCTTAAAATTTTTTTTTCCCTATGAGAATTATAAGTAACTTTTAATCCGAGGCTATTTGATCACAGATACTCTAAGTCATGTGCTTTATTGTGCCCAGCTCTGCTCTGAGGGACTCTTCACTCCAGCAGGTCAGTTCCCCTCTGACGCCCCAGCCCCCGCCCATACTCACCTGTGCAGAAATTCCTGCCCTTTGTTGTAGGCATGGATGGTGGCCAGCCCCTGGATGCTGGACGTGATGTGAGAGAGGAAGGGAGACTGCGTAATGTTGTCCAGACGCTTAAGCTCTCGGATCAGGACCCTGGAGAGAAGGCACAGGCGGTCAGGGAGGCGAGGCGGGCAGCATCCCCACCCAGGAAGCCAGGAGCCCTTCCTGTTTACCTGGAGACAATGTGCAGCCCTGCAAAGAGGATGACGAGTGGCCCCACGGCCACAAGGAACCAAGGGAACACGCCCCCGATCATGCCCACGCAGAAGAAGACCAGGAAGACGTTCTGGATGAACATCTCGGCCTGGAAGGGCAGGCGCACGTCCACTGTGGAAGCGGCAAAGGGACAAGTGTCAGACTCCTGGGACCCGCAGACACAGAAAAACACCACAAACATTTTACACCCAGAAAGGTGCTCCGTAAAACCCCACTCTGCAATCTGATGCGATCTTTCAAACAGCCCAAGCAGGGCGAGAGGTAGTCCAGTGGGAAGGGTGCCTGCACTGCACGCAGCTGACCCAGGCTGGATCCCTGATCCCCCCCGCACCTGCCCCCCCCCCCCACACACTCCTCTGAGTCCCACCAGGAGTGATCCCTGAGTGCAGAGCCCCAAGCACAAAGACAAATGACAATAACTATACAACAGTCTGCGCAAAGAAAAATCTAGAAGCCCAGTCATTCTATTTTCTCTGGCCCCAAGGAAATACAAGCAATCTTTCTCATGCCCTCTTTTGCCTCGTGTGTGGCACAAACCCGTTCAACATGCCTTCTCTTCGCAAAGGAAGACATATAGCTTGTAAAATAGCTGGAAAACAGAGCTCCAAATAGGAGAAGAAATATAAATCTAAAGATTCATTTTCCTCATCAGTACCAATTCTAATACCAAGATCAACACCAATAAACTGGCACTAAAATTTAAGAAGTACTTCAAGGGGTGGGTATGCTCTATGAGTCTTGGGTGTGGGAGTCCCTGGGTTCAATTCCCAACACTGCCTAAAAAAAGACTGATGTCTTGACAGAAAATTTTAAACACACAAAAGCAAAAAGCATACAGGACCTCCATCATGTGATTAACTCCTGGCTTTGCACTCAGGGATCACTACTGGCGGGCTTAGGAATGCTGGGATCAACGTGGGTAGACTATAGGCTGAACAAGAGCTCTACCCACGTACTATCTCTCTAGCAATCAACATTTTTTTTCTTTTTGGGTCACACCTGGCATTGCACAGGGGTGACTCCTGGCTCATGCACTCAGGAATTACTCCTGGCGGTACTTGGGGACCATATGGGATGCTGGGAATTGAACCTGGGTCAACCGCATGCAAGGTAAACACCCTACCCACTGTGCTATCACTCTGGCCCCAACATTTTTTTTTTAAAAATCTCCAAGGGGCTCTTTTTTCCTCCCTCCTGACTTAAAAAAATAAAAACCACTATTTTCTTTCTTGGTTTGAAAGCTACACCCACTGCACTGAGGAAATTGCATAGTGCTGGTGATTGAACCGGAGCCTCCTGTAAGCCAAACACGGCCATCTCCCCAGCCCTTACCTATTGTTCGCTTTGTTTGGGGCCACACTGGGTGGTGCTCAGGGCCCCATATATGGTGCCAGGGGTTGACTCGGCCATAAAGTAGGCAGTGTCTTCCCTCTAGTACTATCCATCCCCTTGACTACTCTCCTGCAAATCTCAGACAATGACATCATCACGGTTCTGATCCGTTGTGGGCCCTGGTCATGACTCTACTCTGGCCTGTTCTTGTCTGAAAACGAACTCAGGTGGGGCAGGAGTTAAAGATAATAGCTCTGGGATGGAAAAGCTCTGGGCTCACTTCCCAGCTCTGTTCTCTAACATCTGTGTGGTCTTGGACTGTTCTAGACTTCGGTTTTCCCCAGTGCAACCATCCTTGCGTGTTTCATTCGGTGGGGGACAGAGCCCAGCTGGCAGGCAGCCAGTTACCCAGGGAGCTTCAATAAATGCCAAGGCAGCAGGAAGTGCTTCAATACTGGTTGCTAATCCAGCCCCTACAGCTTCTGGCAAAACTACCACAAGCAGACCAAGGATCAGCTTGCTGCCTGCAAGCTAAGTACATGTTCTGGAACCTCAGCTACTGTTGTCCAAAAGCTGTTTGTTCTGCCTCTGGACTTGTTTTCAGGTGAAGAGTAAACACAGGAGAGGTGGAAAAGTCCCAAATGGGTCCCAAGCCCCGACACCAGCTGCAACAAAGAGGAGAGGCCCAGACAGCACCATTCCCAGTGGGCAAGTCATGCCCTTGGAATCGAAGGTGGGACAGGCGGACCATCTGGGCAGTGGTCCGGGACTCCAGGGGAGCAGGAGAGGAGGTGGCAGTGAGCAGTACCTTCATCCATGTCTTTGGAAAACCTGTTGAGAATCCTCCCCGTGGGGGTTGTGTCGAAAAACTTCATGGGACTTCTCAGGATCCTCCAGAAAAGCGCATCGTGGAGCCTGGAGGAGGCTCTCAGGGTGCCCTACGGCGCAGAGCACAAGGGATCAGACAGAGCCCGGGGCTCAGCCCAGAGCGGCCGCAGGGGGATGAGCGGGCCTGCAAGCAATGGTGAGGCACAGGAAGTGCAGTTCCTTTTGGCTCAGGCCACTGGCTCTGAGGGGAGAGCAGGGCGGGGCCCCACAGCCTACCTTGACGAACACCACTCCGCGGACAGCTTTCAGAACCAGCATGACCACCATGGAGAGGGCGTAGATGCTGATGTAGTAGTGCAGGTGAGGGTTGTCTTTCATGCTGTTGCTCACCGTGGTCCTGTTGCCCTCCGTCACGGTGGTGTTCTGTTGGAGACAAGACTCTGTCAGGCAGGATGCCTCAGTGCAGCCCCGAAGGCCACAGGGCGAGCGAACGGCAGGCATGGCCCCACACCCCCTGCTCGCTTCTTTGGGTGATGTACGGTGCATACCCAGCTCAGGGAACCATCTGGCACCCAGCCTGCCTGTGAGGCGATGGCTCCAGCCCCCCTCTCTTCTGGTGGATGGATGCAGCAAAGACCGAGTGACCTCCAATGCTGCCCGCCTCAGCTGGGGTGACTCTGAGCTGGCCTCGGGGACTCACCTCTCCTTTGCCTTTCTTCTCGTCTGTGTGCATGTGGGCTGTGAGGAGTATGTGTGTGTGGTACGTATATGGGGTGAGTGTGTGGCATGTATACCGTGTGTGGTATATGTGTGCATGGTGTGAGTGATATGTCATATGTGTGTGGTGAATGTGGTTCACGTGTAGTGCAGGTGAGGGTTGTCCTTCATGCTGTTGCTCACAGTGGTCCTGTTGCCCTCTGTCACCGTGGTGTTATATGTGTGTTATATGTAGACAGTGTGTGGCATGCTGTGTGATATGTGTATGGTATAAATGTATGTGCATCAAGTGTGTGTGGTGAATATGTGCTGTGTATATGAGGTGTGTATATGGTGTGTGTAGATGTATGTGTAGGGGTGTGTGCATGGGTGTGTGGTGTGTGAGTGTGTGGTATGTGTGTGAAGGGGTTTGTGTGTGCATGTGTGGGGGGTGGTATGTGTCTAGTGTGTGTGGTGTGTGTGTGGAGGGGTGTGTGTGTGGGTATGTATGTGTGCGTGGTGTGGTGTGTGTGTGTGTGTTGTATGTGTGTGGAGGTGTTAGTGATATGTTTGCGGGGGTGTATACATGGGCGTGTGTGGTATGTCTGCGATGTGTGTGATGTGTGTGGTGTGTGAAGGGGTGAATGGTGTGTGTGTGGTATGTGTGTGGTGTGTGTGTATGTGGGGGGGTGTATGTGGAGGAGGATGTGTGTGTGGTATGGGTGTGGAGGTGTGTGTGTGTGTGTGTGGTGTGTGTGTGTGTGTGTGTGTGTGTGGTATGTGTGTGTGTGGGGGGGGTGCTAGGAATCGGACCAGCACCTCCGAGCACAGGCCTGCGTTCTATCATTGTACCACATGTACCACATCCTCAGCCGCCCTCTTTCTCTCTGGGGTGATCCTTGTTCCTTGAGTCCGCACTGCTGGACAATCCCCCCTTCCGGGGGCTCTTACCCCACTCCCTTGCTTGATCCAGTAACTTAGCCACCAGGTGCTGAAGGCAGTGCTGCCCACATTCAGGACGAAGAGGGAGAGGATGAACAGGAAAGCCAGGGGGCCCCCCGCAGCCTGGATGTAGACCCCATACACCGACCAGGGCACGGAACCCTGCCCCTTCTCTTCCGCTTGCACGAGCTGCCCTGAAGGAAAACCAAAGAACAGAAATGTGAAGGGAGAAGCTACTTTTCCAAAACACAGTCGCCCCCAGAGCGACAATGAGTCACGGGCTCTCCACAGGCACCACTCAGGGTCCAGGGGCTACTCCTGGCTCTGTGCTCAAGAGTGACCCCTGAGACTAACACCCAAGCATAGCCGAGATAAGTACCAGGAGGTTCACTCCATGGCTTGGAGGCCAGCCGCACATGCTAGGGGAAAAGGCAGCTCAGATAGAGAAGGGAGCACCAAATAAAGGGTGTTGGGAGGATCCTCCCAGGATGGGAGATGCATGCTGAAAGTAGACTACAGACCGAACATGATTGCCACTCAATGCCTCTTTTGCAAACCATAGCACCCAATAGGAGAGAGAGAACAAAAGGGAATGCCCTGCCACATAGGCAGGGGGGATGGGGGGTGGGAGGAATACTGGGATCCATGGTGGTGGAAAATGGGCACTATTGGAGGGATGGGTGCTCGATCATTGTATAACTGAAACCCAAGCACAAAAATTTGTAAGTCTACAACTGTACCTCATGGTGTTTCACTAATAAAAATAAAAAAAAAAAAAAAAGGAGTGACCCCTCATATGCGCCGCCTGGGGTTGGAAATGGGTCACAGCCTCCTTGGCCAAGTCAAGCAAGGCAAGTGCCTGACCTCCGGAGCTCTTTCCCAACCCTGAGATTACCCTCCTGTCAGAAGAACTTGCTCCTCTTTCCAAATCCATTAAACACCATAATGAACCAGCCCAGGATGAAGCCTGAAGGGGTCAGGAGAGTGAAGGGCAGGTCCCTTCCTGCTCTTGAGCGCTGGATGAGGACACTCCCGGTCTGGCAGGATGGACAGACCAATCAGCAGGTGGGAATAATGGCAAAGAGACTGCACAATGCACCCAGACAATCAGGTCAGAGAGATGGAACACTGTGTGTCCCGAAGGAGGGGTGGAGGGGCCCAGCTGACCCATGTACTGTGGTCAGAGGAGAAAAGCTTTTGAACTTTGGTATCAAGATAAAGATGGTGTCAAAAAGGCCAGGGTGGAGAGAAAAGAGGAAGTGGGCAGAAGCAAAGGTCAGGACCTATTTGGGGGACCTAGAAGGGAGATGGCCGGATAGATCTAAACCACAGGGCCATCAACACTGGGACCCAAACCACAGTGATTGAATTGAAAATGTGCCTGTTTAAGGGGACAGGCGGGGGGATGGGAGGGAACCCGCGGAGAGGTGAAAGGAAGCTGACACTGGAAGTAGGACTGGTGCTGAGCACTGCATGTCTGAATCTCTCCTGTGGACACATCTGTAAATCATGGGGAAATGTATGTGGAAAACAAATCACTGATTGGAGAACTAAACCAACTTCCAAAGTCCTGTCCAGGCCTGTCATTCCTCTTGCATCCAATTCAAGAACTCACTAACTGGGAAATTTCCCTGCTCGCAAGACCAGTGAGCTCCAGAGCCAGCAGCCCTCTCCTGCTCACCAGACTCCGATACTAATAATTCTGCTCAGTGCCCTGTCAGGGACAGATGAGCAAGCGGAGTTTTGCAAACCGGAGACCCCTGCAAGGCTTCAGGGAGGAAAGCTAGTTGACTACTCCATCTTTTTTATTTCTTTTGTTTTTTGGGGCCACACCTGGTGATGCTTGGGGCTTAATCCTGGCTCTGCACTCAGGAATCACTCCTGGCAGTGCTCAGGGGACTCGATGGGATTTAACCTGGTTCAGTCACGTGAAGGCATGAGCTCTAGCTGCTGTACTACAACTCGGGCCCCTGCTCTCCTCTCTTGAACCAGATCTTGCAGCTGGTCAGCTGACTGACAGAGCTCAGAAAAAGCAGCTGCTATACTTTGTTTTTTATCTTTTTATTTATTTTTTCTTTTTTTTTTGGGTCACCCTCGGCGATGCACAGGGGTTACTCCTGGCTCTGCACTCAGGAATTAGTCCTGGCGGTGCTTGGGGGACCATCTGGGATGCCCGGGATCAAACCCAGGTTGGGTGTGCAAGGCAAATGCCCAACCCGCTGTGTTATCACTCCAGCCCCAGCTGCTATACTCTGGTCAGAGAGGCTCAGGGCCAGAGCCAGGGGCCGGGCAATGAGGACAAGCCATCAGGAGGCAAATACAAGAGCGCAGAGTTACTGGCTCGAGGAGGCGAGACAGACTCAGGGAGGGCTCCAGAGGGTCTCTCTGCAATGACTGGGTGGTACTGGACATTCTGCTGACATGAGGAAGGAGAGTAAGAGCCAGGCCGGAAGCTCCCGTCTCTCTTGGTGCTGCTATGGTGTTCAGGGGCCACGCAGGGCTGGGTACTGAACTCAGAGCAGCACGTGTTGACCACTGAACCACACCCTGGGCCCACCCTGTGCTCCCTTCCACACAGACAGTCTAGTCTAGCCATCTTACAAGGCACCACTCACGGCATCTCAGATACTCAATATTCCAGTTAATGGCAGCATCGACGAGGACATATGCTCCCTAATGACACTGAATTGTTTTGCTGTGTTCCTGGTTTTAGGGCCACATCTGGTGGCGCTCAGGGCTTACTCCCAGTGGGGCTAAGGGAACCATATAGGATGCCAGGGATTGAACCCATGTTGGCCGCAAGCAAGGCAAGTAGTCGCTGTCCTATCAATCGCTCTGACCTTGGACACTGAATTGTTACATTACCCACAGCAAGACTCGCAGTCTTCCATGCTGTGTTGCATGCATGTATAAAGATATTTTCTGTAACGTCTGAATTCAAATTTCCTATCTGGTGTGTGTGCGCTTGTGCAAGATATTTTCGATGATATCTGATAAATCTCATATTTGGGCTGTGTGTGCATATGAATGAATATCTCCTATCTGCTGCTTTATTTGCAGAGCGGGTGAGTGGAAAATCAGGTCAATTCCTAACAATAAATCCACAAATGCCACAGTTTCAGAACAAAGAAATAAGGGACTGGGGGGATAGCTTCAAGGGCTGGAGCACATGCCGAGCAGAGGGGTCCTAGCTCAATGTCTCCCACTGCATCCCCTTCCCTCAATCTCGCAAGAGAACAAAAAAGTGAACACAGCCCCACCTGAAAAACTTTTCTGTGGGGGGTGAGGCCACTCCTAGTGGTGCTTGAGGGAACACAGTATCAGGGATTGAACCTGGGGCGTGTGAAGCCTGCACAGTTGCATTTCCAAAGCCCGGGAAACCCAGGCAAGGTCCTGAATTCCAAACATCAAGAGGTGAGGTGACTCAACGAAGAGTGCTTCTGAGATAGGGCTGCATTCCGAACTTTTTTTAATTTTAATTAAACTTAACAGGAGCTTAAAATTCTCAAGGTGAAAATACTTCTTTTGCTCTTTGAAAATAGCTTTTCTAACTGCCAAGATATGTTTCAGCTGATAAGATAAATAGGCTGTAAAAGAGGACCAAAGGCTCCAAGCAGGGAATGTCAAGAAGAAAATTCCTCTGCCTGGCTGCAACCAGGCGACAATCAGTGATCAGCGGAGGGGACAGGGGTTCTAGTAGGGCCAGGGGTGTGCTTGCAGAGTGAGTCACAGGCAGGAAGGGGAGAGATACCTCCAGGCACCATTGCATTTTCCTTACTCAGGATGACTCAGCCAAGGTTCCCAGTCATGCACAGAAAGGGCAAGCTTGCATTTAGAGGACATTCTTCTTGAGTGAGACTGAACCAAATCGGCAGGCACCTCTTGGTCTCCCTAAACTACACAAGAATTTGTTATGGGGCAGGAGAGATACAGTCCAGTGTACAGGGAGGGTAGGGTGCTGGCCTTGCACGCGATCTACCTGGGTTTGATCCCCTGCAACCCTAGGCCCTTCAGGAATAATCCCTGAGTGCAGGGCCAGAGGTAAGACCTGAGCATAGCCAGCTGTGGCCCTAAAACTAAAACCAAACAACCAAAAAAAAATTTTTAATGAAAAAAATGGAATTTGGGGCTGGAGCAATAGCACAGCGGGTAGGGCGTTTGCCTTGCATGTGTCCAACCCGGGTTCGATTCCTAGCATCCCATATGGTCCCCTAAGCACCGCCAGGAGTAATTCCTGAGTGCACAGCCAGGAGTAACTCCTGAGCATTGCTGGGTGTGACCCAAAAAGCCAAAAAAAAAAAAAAAAGGACACCATGAAACCATACCAGGTGGCATAATTTCTGATAAACTCACGACAGGTCTAAAGCCTCGTTGCTCAGCCATTACCTTCCTCTGGCTTCACCGCCTTCTCTTTCTTGACTGATCCGGGTTTAGGACCTTTGTCCTGTGATTTCTTCTGTGAACTATTGGTTTCCTTTTTCGAGTTAATCTAGTATCGAAGAGAAAAATGATTAGATGTTCACTAGGCTGACCAAGGTGATCATTTCAAAACAGACACAGATGCCACCTCAGCGACAGCTTCAACGAGCAGCGTGTGACCCTGGAAGACCACATGACCTCAACTGGGAAAGGATTTCTCTGGCCAAACTCTCAGACGAGAGTCCACAGCGCTGGAGAACTGTCCATCCATTTGCTCTGACGGAGGGAGACATCCAATTTCTTCACAGGGCCTCCTGCTCTCAGTTCTTCTACTTCCTCCTTAAATTTGAGAGATCTGGACTCCTCCCTGATACTCCCTTAATGTGGTTCTCCCTGAGGTGATGAGAGACACCTAAGAGGTCACAAGACACCTGACATCCAAACACAGAGGTCTTGGTGCTGTTCCCAATGACATCAGGGCGGGTCACTGCGGGCTCTGGTCTCTTGGGGCCCCTCACTCTGAGCCCAATCATGGCTCTCGCATCTCCCTATGTTGCCACAGGGGGCGCTCTCGCCTCTGAGGCTGCTGGGAACAGTCTGTGAGTGAGTTCTCAGGGTTATCTTCCGTTCCCCACACCACACAGGGACTCCCCCATTTCTGGACTTGTGTCCACACTGTTTCTTCACTTGGAAAGTCCCTCTGGATCAACTCAAGCCACAGTTGTTCCCTTTCAGAGGGATTCAAATCTCACCACATTCCTGAGAGAAGTTGCATTCCTTGAGGGCTCCCCAAAGTGGCCAATACCATCCCCAGGGGCAAGGGGAGGCTGAAACAATCATGGTGGAGGAGGTCTCTGTGGTGGTGAAGGGTGTGTGTGTGTGTGTGTGTGTGTATTACACTTCCTGTTTGCTAGCAGGTGGTACACTTCCAGGGGAGGTATTGTGCTAGGTGATTCTGTTTTCTGAAAAAGGGGAAGTAGGTCAAATAAATCTGGGAATCTCTCATCCAAGCTCTCTGCTCACTCCTTTTCCCCTCAGGGTCTGTGGTCAGCCTGGGGTTGAAAGTAGAGGGTGTGGGGCTCCTTCCCGGCTTCAGAGCCAGGCCAGCGAAGATTTCTCACTCATGGCAGAGTCTGTGACAGGGCTCACAAACACGAACCAACATTCTCCACATGGATCCTGAGATCAGACACTTCTGAAGGCTCTCTTTCCCAAGTTCCTCTCCTATTTTTTTTTAAATCTAGAATTTTTTTCTTTTTTTATGACGCTTCATTCGCTATAAGAGCCTCATGTCCCTAGTTTGCTCTCTGAGATGTTTTAAATTGAGAAAAAATAGCAGAAAATAATATACAAATGGGGTGCTCGAATATTCTATGACTGAAACCTAATCCTGAACAACTTTATAACTGTTTATCTCACTGTGATTCAATAAAAAAAAAAAAAGAAAGGAAGAAAAAAAGCTTAAAAAAATGTAGGACAGCATGTAGAAGACAAGGGTTCTAGGGCCGGAGAAATAGCTCACCAGGCTGGACACATGTCTGGCATGTCAAGGCCTGGGTTTGAGCCTCACCTGCACTAACTTCAGAATCTGAAAGACTTTGGGTTTTGGGCCTACAACCAGCAGTGTTCAGGGGTTATGCCTGTTTCATGTGGTGCTCAGGGGACCTTCTGAGGTACAGGAGATCAATGCAGGGTTAGCTGTGTGCATGTAACTGGCTTCACCCCTGTACCACCTATCCACCCCTCTAATATTCTTTAGTTTCTTGCACCTTTCATGTTTCAGCTTTTCTCCAGAGCTGATTTATTACTCTCTATCTATAGGGATGTATGTATGACCTGATGAGCAGAAGTGTTGAGTGTGTGTGTGTGTGTGTGTGTGTGTGTGTGTGTGTGTGTGAGAGAGAGAGAGAGAGAGAGAGAGAGAGAGAGCTCAGAAATGCAAACCTGCAGTAGCGGTCTCCCTGGAAGCTACAGAAGACACTGGAATGTGGGAGTCACACTCAGGGCCTAGTGCATGCAAGGCAAATAAATGCTCTAGTCCTTGGCATTCTCTGCCGGTCCCCAGGAACTCTACTGAAGCAAGATCGGGAGGCAGGGGAGAGAGAGCTAAAGGGTTAAGCACGGGATTTGCATATAGATGCCCAGGTTTGATCCCTGGCACCGCCTGGCTTCCTGGTCTCCAGGTGTGACGTAGGAACAAAAACTAGTAAGCGAATTCGGGAGGTGAGAGCAATGCCCCCGCAAGCACAGAAGCAAACTACAGGCCCAGCAGCCTCTGCCGAGGGCGGCTGCCCTCTTGCGTAACCAGGAAGGGAGCACCCCCCTTCCGCCCCACAGCAGTGAGACGCGGCCTGGCTGGTCTCCAATGCGGGGCGCCCATGGGTCTCACCATGCACGCACTCTCCAAACTGCCCTCTGTTCGTTCATTTGTTTCCGAATCACCCCGATTTGCTGTTGGGATAAATGACTGCTCTGGGTTGAGGTCACTTTTTGAAGAGATCTGAAAACACGTGGGTCACGCACGATTAGTCTGAACCGGAAACCAAAAGCGATGAAACCCCAAACTGCAATAAGACTCCCCAAAAGAGTTCCAAGAGCTCTCTGCCTTCAGCCCCAAGGCCTTCAGTGACTGGCAGTAAGAAGCAGCCCCTTTTTCCTCTTAACACTCCTTTTGGGGCTGGAGCCATAGCACCACGGGTAGGGCGTTTGCCTTGCACGTGGCGGCCAACCTGGATTTGATTCCCAGCATCCCATATGGTCCTCCAAGCACTTCCAGGAGTAATTCCTGAGTGCAGAGCCAGGAGCAGCCCCTGAGCATTGCTGGGTGTGACCCAAAAAGAAAGGAGAAAAAGCTCCTTTTTCTTTCTTGGCATTCATTCATTCGTTCATTCATTCTTGATCCCCTGTGGGGCTGACCAGGGTCACACACATTCTTGGTCACAGACGCAAACATTCTGCTGTGGAGCTCACAGGGGCTACACCCGCCCCACAGTGCTCACACCTCCACCTCTCTTTTGTGCTTGTTTATGGGGGCCACGCTTGGTGGTACTCGGGGGACCCCATGATGCTAAGGATCATACCTGGGCCTCTTGCATGCTAAGCATGGGAGCTAGCTAGCATTTGAGCAACCGCCCTGGTCTTTCCCAGGAGATCATGCTCTGTCGTAGCACCGGGGGGTCACAGCAAGGCAAGTGCTTCTTCACTGAGTCTGTGGCACCTCCCAGCTTTAAGCCCTGCCCGCCTGTCTCTGAGGACCCCAGGGTGGGAGCCCAGCAAGGGCTGGGAGGAGAGCCACCTTTAGGGCACACCCTGAGTATTCCTGAGTGTCAGGCTGAGTGGGGGTCCCAGGCACGGCTGGGGGGAAGCCGATCCACAGCTGAGGGGGCATGTGAAGTCCAGCCGTCTGTGGGTGCGAGCGTGCCCCTGTCTCAGGCTCCTGTCTGTTCCCTCGGCGGGAACAGTGAGGGACGGTCCTACTCTGCCCACAGCTCAGCTGATATGACGTAGCTGGATAAAGCACCCCATCCAGAAATTGGGAGAGCAGCTGCTAGGTCAACAACGGGTGCTGAGAACCAGGACACCATGCTCAGTTTTCAGATAGGCGCTGTTTCCTCTCTCTTCCTGGGCGCCTCAGCCATTTGTGAATTAAAGGACGAAGCTTCCCAGGTTTCCGCCAGGACGCCTGGGCCCAGGCGTTTCTCCCGGCTGCCACCTGAGGACTCAGCCCCAACCTCTGCCCTGCACGTGGCTCTCCCAGAGTGACCTAGGAGGGGCACCCAAGAAACAGGAGGCCTAAGAGAAGCCTTGAACAAGTGACTTCACTGCGCTACCCCACCCTCTCCTGTGGACACCAGCTGGTCTCACCTCAACAGGGGGCGTCTCTCCCAGCAGCAGGTTGTTGAAAATGGTGGCGTAGTCGCCATTCAGGTGCATGAGTTCCTCGTGGGTGCCTCTCTCGGTGATGCAGCCCTCCTTCATGAAGATCACTTCATCACAGTCCGCCAGGTACTGGGATAGACAGAGGCAGCGAGAGCAGAGCTGGGGGTTTGTGCGAGCACAATCCAACACCAACCGGGACACTGTCCCTCGGGGCCTCACAATCGCAGGGGTTGTGGCTGCCCTGGGTTCATCTACTGGCACTTCCCTGCACCCCCATCCTTTTGAGCAACAGTCTTTGTAACGAAGGTACACAATTTTTTTTTTTAAATAGGCAGAGGGCTACTGCCCATTTAACAGACCACGCAGAGTTATATTTGTAATGCAGTGGAGAAACCAACAGACTGGATGTGGTTTGCATTACAGCCTTTCCCTTTTCTTGAAGAGACAGAATCGTGATTTCTCAGAGAAGGTGCCCGCACCTTCGCCCAAAGGCTCTCGACGTCGTGATTCTCCCAGGAACATGTGGCACAGATTTTTTTTTTTTTACTCACAACAACCCCAGAAGATGCTGAAACCATGGGGTGGGGGGGTGTCTTGTGGAGGGGGGGTAGGAACAGCCTCAGGTGCAATGGGGTATACTTTCTGTTTGCTTAAAAGTCAATTCCCCAACATAGGGGAGTGGTGCGCAACAAGCCATTATTATTATTATTTTTTTTTTGCAAAGGGCTGAGCAGGCCAAAAAAGGCTGGAGTAACAGCTGGAGGCCGAGGGTATCTGGGACCACAGAGATCACCTGCAAGGTGTTCAAAGAGCAGCATATCCGAGCTACAGGGAATCCGCTGGGATTTTTCCACTTGGGCACACTCCGTCGTCCCCTTCTGCTGTGCTCAGACACACACAGGATTGCAGACTTTTGGTGGCAGAATAGTATGTGTGTGTGTGTTGGGGGGGGGAATTGTAGGGGGTGGATAATGTGAGCCCCTCAAGTTTGAGGGCATATGCCGAGCAGATGGGAGCCTCCCGGAACCGCATTCCAAAGTGGCTGCCTGTCACAACGCGACAGAGGGAAAAGCGCGTGTTTTCCCTAAACAGTTCCCACTCGCAGGGCACTTTTCACACAGGCTCCCTAAGCCATCTCCGACCCTCTCCACCTGCTGAGATTTAAGCAGAAGCTAAGGGCTGCAGGAAGGTCTGAGTCAGCAGCTGCCTGGCCGGGAAGGAAGAGTTTCCTTGGGACCAGGCACCAATCAGCGGGGGTGGTTGGACAAGAAGATGAAACACCCCAACTTCAGGAAGCCAGAGGGATCCGGGCAGGCCCAGCTCTCTACCTGGCACTTCCCCGAGCCCGGGCACAGAAGCGCCATACCTGTAACTGGTGGGTGACGAACAGAACCGTCTTGGTCTTGAGGTGCTTCTGGATAGCACTGTTGAAGATGTGGTTGCCCACGTGGGCGTCTAAGGCACTAAGGGGGTCGTCCAGGATGTAGATGTCCCGGTCGCTGTACAGGGCCCGGGCAAGGCTAATTCTCTGGCGTTGCCCTCCGCTCAGGTTGGCACCGCGCTCGCCGATCTGTGAGGCCCAGAAAGCACAGAGAGACCTCCAGTTCAAGTCCGGAGTCCTGCTCAGGGGTCACCCCACTGTCCTCTGGACCCAAACCAGCTCCTGTTCATCAACTGCCCACCTGCTACCCTGGTCACTAGGGACCTCCAGCTCCCTCACTGGAACTAGGGGGGGGGGGTCATCCAGAGAGCTCCCTTGTCCACCAGCATCTGGTCCCTCTTGAGCCTCCATCCAGCCTTGCCATTTCCCACTAGGGTCCCCAATCCACTCCCATTTCTCACAGGCAGAATCACTTTTGTGTTTGTTTTTTGGGCCACAGCTGGCAATGCTCAGGGGTTCCTCCTACCTCTGCACTCAGGAATTACTCCTGGCGGTGCTCAGGAGACCGTATGGGAAGCCGGGGATTAAACCCCGGTCAGCCGTGTGCAAGGCAAACACCCTACCCGCTGTACTATCACTCTGGCCCCAGAAAAATCTTTCTAACATACAAAGCTTAGCTCCAAGGGGTTCAAATGTATGCCATGCATGTGCTAGACCTCAAGTCTGAGCTCTGGTCCCCCCAACCCCCCAGCACTGTACCACTGGGCTCAAGCATTTGGCCCCCTCCTCCAACAACACCTCCCCACCCCCCCGCGCCAACAAAAGACAAAGCTGGCTGTGGCCACTGATTGCTTCAATGTCTATTTCAGTGTTCACCGCAGTGTTATTTATAACAACAAACAAGGGCCGGGAGAGAGCTGCAAGGGTCAGTGTGCCCCATTTGCAAGAGAGGGCCAGGTTTTTCCACACCAGTTCCCAAAGCATCCGTGGGGAACAGCCTCAGATCACTGATGGGTCAGGTCCCAAACTAACCAAGAAAACAGGGGACGAAGGAAGAGCACAGCAGGAACGGTGCTGGCCCTGCACCCTGACACCCTATAGAGTCCCCTTGGCCCCAACAGGAGTGATCCCTGAGCACAGAGCCAGGAGTAAGCCATGAGCACAGCTGGGTGTGGGCCCCAAACCAAATTTAAGCAAAATAGGGAAACTAAAGACAGGTGACTGGATAAAGATGCAGCCCATTCAGAAAATACCATTCAGCTGAAAACCAAGATGGCACTTTACCATTCTCAGCAAACACAAACTTGAGGGAATTTTTGTGCAGTTGAAGAAGTCAAAAGGAGAAAGACCAGTATTGGGACACTTTCACCCACATAGGCAATCAAGGGGTATAAAACTATGGGGTCAAGTTAAGCCAAAGGAAGTCAGAAGAATGATAAATACTGCTGTCAAAGTCTAAGGGTTTACTTTCTTTGGACTCTATATTCCCTGGCTTTGTTTCTTTACAAGCCAAGCGTGAGTGAACTCATACGGTAATTATCTGCGTTCTGCTTCAATGTGTCTGGGGTGAGGCCTGAAATTTTGCCTTTCCAGTCAGTCCAAAGTGCAGCTGGCACTGTTCACGTGCTGCCAGTCATCAGCCATGATCTGAGAGAACTTCTCAGGTCAGTTAGAGCAGTCGGGCGGGAACACCAGCCCAGCGGCCTGCGTCCACAGGAGCCAGGAGTCAGCACTGTTTTGGGTGCCAGAACCAGGCAAGGAAGACAGACAGATGGACTGGAGCTCAGGCCTCTGTCCTGATACAGCAGGGTTCTCTACAGATTGAGTTTTTCTCTGTCTTCTTTTACCCTCCCAGGCCACAGTTGGCAATGCACGGAGGCTACTCCTTGCTCTGCACTCAGGGTTTGTTCCTGGCAGTGCTCGGGGACCATGCAGTGCTGGAGGTCAACGCTGGTCTCCTGCCTGCACAGCAAGTGCTCAGTCCTCTGAGTGGTCCTGGCAGACTGGATCTGGGTACGAGCTGGCAGAATGAAGAAGTTCAACGTGCATATATTTGGCCTGTTTGTTTGTTTGGTCATCTGGGAGGCTACACCCGGTACTGCTCGGGGTTTACTCCTGCTCTGCGATTATGAATCACTCCTGGTGGCTAAGATAGGGGGACCACATGGGATGGCAGGGATCAAACTCAAGGGATGGAACTCAGGTGGGCCACATGCAAGCCAAGCACTCTCCCTGCTGTTCTAGTGCTCTGGCTCCATAGACCTGCGGTTTTAACTACACATGTGCAGAGCACATGAACTGTGAGCCGACATTGCTGTCTCAGAGCCACGTGACAGGGTCAGGATATTGGCTCACCGAGTCGGAGCGAATGCCGGCATGGAAAATCAGACCCCAACAAAATCAAATCCACAAGACACAAAAGGGGTTCCAGCCCGGCCCTGCCCCCCATCTCCCGGCACCCTCTTTGCTAAGCCCGGGGTTCCCCGGAGAAGCCCGCACCTCAGTCAGGTCACTGTGGGGCAGGATGGCCAGGTCAGGCCTCAGGCAGCAGCTGTTGAGCACGGAGTTGTACCTGGGAACACCAAGAACACAGTTCAGGGCCTGCGGGAGCAGAAAGCCTGTGGCTGGGCCTGGCCTGGGCCGGGGAAGAAGGCGGGTGGGAAGCCAAACCGATTCCTTGCCTCTCCTCGTCGTACTCCTTCCCGAACAGGATGTTGTCCCTCAGGGTGGCGTTGAGGATCCAGGCCTGCTGGGCCACGTAGGCGAAGGTCCCGTTGACAGCAATGCTGCCCTCCAGGAGCGTCATCTGGGGAGACAGACACCGTGCAGGGGCGGGCCACCCCCGCCCAGTGCCGCACACGCAACCCCCCCCAGAGCCGCGCGGAAAGCCCCGAAACCCTCCCGGGATGTTTTCTGGATCCCAATCCGGATCCCAGCCCCCCACACACCTTTACTCCAGAGAGAGCGACCAAGGTCAAGAAAACCAACCTGCCCTTCACTTATTCGTGACAGGGCAGGGGCTGGCCCAGCGCATGAACAACAAATGCTTGTGTCGGCAGCCCACGCAGCCCTTCATCCCGAACTACAAACCATTTTATTTTTTTTTAATTTAATCACTCTGAGATACAGTTACAAAGTTGCTCATGATTGGGTTTCAAACATACAATGTCTCAACACCACTCCCTTACTTAACCAGTGTACATTTCCCCCACCAATCAATGTCCCCAGTTCCTGCCACCAGCTTCCCCAATAAAGGCACCTCTCCCCTCCCCGCCCCCACACTTCCCTCCCCACTCCCCTCCTTTTTGGGGCATTGTGCTTTGCAATACAGATGCTGAACACTTATCATGTATATTCCTTTCAGCACTCACTCTCTGTCCAGAACAATCATTTCCAGCTATCATAGCCAGAGTGGCCCCTTCTTTATCCTAACTGCCCTCCCCCTGCCCCTCCCAAATTTGTGGCAAGTTTTCAACTGTCAACCTGTCCTTCTGAACCTTGTTACAAAACCATTTTAATTAAAGGAAAGACAAGGGGCAAGGTCCTCCGGATTTCCCTGGGGAGGATGTTGCCAGGATTTTGAGCTACTTCCTCCCTCAAAATGAGGGCGGGCCAACTCGCTGACAGAATTAATCTGTACAGCTGGCTAGACCCAGCTGCTTCTGTGTAATGAGAACCAAAGGGGGGAAAAAAATTGCAGCTGGACATGAACCAGAACAAGGGACATGGGACCGGAGAGACAGTATGGAGAGCAAGGAGCTTGTCTTGCAAGCAATGACCCTGGTTCAATCCCCGGCATCACACGCTCCCCTGAGCACTGCCCAGGAATGATCCCTGTACCCAGAGGCAGGAATAAGCCCTGAGCAACCAGGTGCTGCCCCCCAAATTCCCGCCCTCCCCAAAGAGAGGGGTGAGGGGGCATGATGAGTTCTGAGCTGTGTTTTTGTCACAGTGACTGATGTGGAGGGATCTATCTCTTCTATACTCTGTTCTCTGGGGAACTGTGTCTGGAAGAGTGAGCCCCTGCATCTGGGTTAGGGCGACTGTAGCTTGGGACACAGTTTCGTGAACCAGCCTGGGCCTGATGCCCAGCCAAGCTTGTCTTCTCCAGCACTGGGCCACAAAGGCCCAGGGACCCGCAAATGGGAGGCCCCGAGGGGTGTCCCGTGGGAACCCAGCTCTGCTGAGCTGAACTCTAGAGCTGAACTCCCAGATGGGAGCTTCCCAGCCTCGTCTGCCTGTCACCAAGGGCCAAAGGACTAACCAGGCCAAAGGACTAACTCAGAGCAAATGCTCGAGAGTCTGCAGCCTCACTGCTGCCGCGTACCAGGCTGCCTGGCAGCTCCTCCAACGTGGCCCGCTTCTGTCTCCCCCGCCTCCCCTCACTGTCCCTCAGATCTGGCTGCTCATGATAGGAGGAATTTTTCTTTTTTTGGGCGGGTGGGGTGAGCGTGGGGGTAGGGATGGGGGGTTGGGGCCACACCCAACAGCGTTCAGGTCTTACTCCGGGTGGTGCTCAGGGGACCACAGGGGATGCCAGGGATGAAACCGGAGCTAACCGCGAGCAAGGCAAGTGCCCTCCCCACTGTACTATCGCTCCAGACCCACTTCCTCACTCATCTTTGGTCTTTTTGTTTGCTTATTTATTTTTAAACAAAGACACGTGCTGGGTCCTGCCGTTGAAGGGTCTCCAAGAGCCAAGCGGGAGGTGGGCCGCCAGCCCAGAGGGCCTGAAGACACCTTCCCTGTCCTCGGCCCCAGCCCCAATGCAGACAGCGACAGCGACCAAGCTCCAGAGAGCACTGGAGAGAGGGGACAGGTGTGGGCACTTGCCTTGCATGCACCTGACCCCGATCTCCTTTCCTGCACCACCAGCGGCTACTCAGCATTGCGAGGAGAGACCCCTGAGCACAGAGCCAGGGTGCAGCCCCAAAGCACATCAGAATGCGGCCCCCCAAAACCTAAAGCAGGTGAAAGCACCATGGTAAGAGGCATCCTTGCCTCCGCCACTTCTGTTCTGCCCACTTAGTCGGCTCTAAAACCAAGGAAAAGAGAGCTCACCTGAGCTGGAAGATTCTTGGCCTTGCTTGTTCCAGAAGGGAGGGAGGTAGGGAAAGGAGGCAGGGAGGGAGGGAGGAAGGGAGGGAGGGCGGGCAGAAGGTCCTGTGCAAGGCAGCCTCAGCTGTCTGTACCCTCTCGTGTCTGGAAGGCCACATTGCCACTAGCCTGTCTCCCTAAGTGTGTGTACTTCCTTTTCTTCTTCAACCTGAGGTAGAAAGTGAAGTAGGGCTGCCAGGAGGCCACTGCAGCAGGACAGGGCTCCTTCGTCAGTACTTCACTCTCCACGAGTGTGCGTGTGTCTGCACACCTGTCTCTCTGTGTGTGTCTCCATGGAGATATGTCTATGTGTGCTTATCTGTGTGTCTGTGTTTGTGTGACTGTATGTGTCTGTGTGTGTTTGTGTGTGACTGTGCGTATGTTATGTGTGTCTGTTAGTCTGTGCGTGTCTGAGTTCGTGTGTCTGTCTCTGTGTGTGTGTGTGTCTGTGTATATGACTATGTGTATCTGTATCGGTATGTATGTGAGTCTCTATGTGTATAACTGTGTCTCTGTGTGTGTGTGAGTCTGTGTGTGTCTGTCTCTGTGTGTGTGTCTGTGTGTGTCTGCCTGTGTGTGTGAGTCTGTGTGTGTCTGTCTCTTGTGTGTGCTGCAATGGAGATCCCAGGTGTCCACATGGTTCTGAGAAGGACTTCGGAGGGTGTGTGCTGGGGGTGGGGAGCTGAGGCAGGACACAGACCCAGGCTGAAATCTGCTTCCACATGCTCCTGATTCGCTCCAGGAAATAAATTCACTTTGTCTTCCGGAGAGTTTTTCTGAGCAAAAGAGCAGAAGCCAGACAGAGCAGCTGACACTGACAGGGACGGTCACCAACGCTTACCTGGCCCAAGATGGCGGAGATGAGGGAGGTCTTGCCGCTCCCTACGCTGCCACAGATGCCAACCAGCTTCCCCTGGACAGAGCAGAGAGGAAGGTCAGGGCTGGCACAGCCATGGGCCTGAGGGCTCTGGGAGTTCGAATACCACATTAGCCCACCAACACGGGAACTGCCGACCAGGTGACCTCAGGAGCACTTCCCTCTGTCTGCTCCCTGTCAGCCACCTATTCTGGAGGAGTCTATGGGGATGCTGAGGCAACGGCCTTTCAGAAACCTGAAGTATGGCACACACAGGTGACTACCCACACCGTCCTCTGAGAACGGGCTCGTGGCTCCTTTCTGTGCTGGTCACTCAGTTTGGGGATTATTTCAACTGCTGTTTTGGGGAGAGAGGGCACGATGCTTGAAACCTATTTCAATGAGGTTTAGAAAATACTTTGAACAGAAAATATGTGCTCAGTTGCTTTGTCTTTTTAAATTACAAAATGTTTCTGAGAATCTGGGGAATATTTTGTACCATCAATCCCACACAGACGACAAATACCAAGCCTGCAGCTCAGGCAACATAATGAGTTCTTCAAGGAGAGTGTTAACAGGTTTCAAAAAGCAGATGGTTTTTATTTTATTTTACTTCGGTTTTAGGGACATAACCAGCAGTACTCAGGACTTACTCCTGACTCTGTGTTCAGGGATCATTCCTGATGGGACTTGGGGGTGGGGGCTGAGGGGGGGGGGGGTCATATGGGATGCCAGGGCTTGAAGCCAGGTCGGCTGTGTGCAATGCCAAATGTCTTCCCCGCTGTGCTATTGCTCTGGCCCCAACAAATGGTTTTCATTTTGCTATTGTTGTTGTTTTCTTTTTGGGTCACACCTGGCGATGCTCAGGGGTTACTCCTAGCTCATGCACTCAGGAATTACTCCTGGCGGTGCTCGGGGGAACATATGGGATGCTGGGAATCGAACCTGGCTTGGCCGCATGCAAGGCAAACGCCCTACCTGCTGTGCTATCGCTCCAGCCCTGGTTTTCATTTTTTAATGAATTAATATATATATATATTTTTTGCATCTCACCCAGCGATGCCAGAATCACTCCTGGTTTCGTGCTCAGGAATTACTCCTGGCCGTGCTCGGGGGACCCTACGGGATGCCGGCTTGAACCTGGGCCGGCTGTGTGCAGGACAAATGCCCTGCCCGCTATACTTGGCTCCAGACCCAGCTACGCTTTAGTTCCGAGTCACGTCCAGCCACAGAGGAACACAGCTGCCGGGGACAGACCAAGTGCAGGTGGCTGGTTGGGGGCAGGGGCAGAGGGGTTACCTCTTCGACTTCCAGGTCGATGCCATACAGCGTCCTTTGCAGGCGGAGGCTCCCGGGGGGCGCGTGCTTGCCCCCTTCCTCCTCGGGGCTGGGCCGCTCGTCGATGTCCAGCAGGAGGTGGCCCTTCTGCTCCGCCAGCACCTCCTGGTGGCCCGTGTGCTGCAGCTGCCGCCCCTTGTCTCTCTTGCCCCGGGCCGCCCTCTTGTCTTTTTTCATTTTGGGGGTCAGCTTGGGCGAGTTCTGGATACTGGCGTGGGGGGAGTCCCAGGCCAGGGTGGCATTTGTCATCTCTATCTTGACGTGAGGGCTGGCTGGCTTTTTCTTTATCATGTGAACCTCTTCCATTAGAAACAAACTCTGATAGGAGTCGTGAGAGAGGTGCAAAGATGAGACACTGCATCAAGACCAGGGACACAAGCCTAGGGCGCACACGCACGGAGCAAAACACACCGGGCTAGACAGTGGAAGGCAGCTGAAGGGCAAAAGGGAGCTCATTAGTGCGGCCCAGCCTCAGGGGGTCATGGGAAGGTGTGGACCCTCTCACTCGGGGCAGGAACAGGGGCCTGGCGTCTGGCTCAACACCCTACACAGCCTCAACTGCCTCGATCTTTTTCCCTGGCCTGACCCAAGCTGTCTTCCGTTCGGGAGTTGCTGAGTCATGCCTAGGAGTTGCTGAGTTACACTAAAAAGTTGCTGAGTCACACTTAAAGATGCTGAGTCATGCTCAGGAGTTGCTAAGTCACACTTAAAAGTCGCTGAGTCATGCCTAGGAATTGCTGAGTCATGGGGGAAAAAGTAGCGGAAAAGTCCAAAGGATATCTGGTCATCTGGTCTCTTACACAGGCCCCCATTACTGTTCCCTATAGAACCCCAAACCCTGTCTGGGCACTGCTTTCCTTCACCCCTTGCTTGCCACAAGCAAGGCTAGGGGCAGAGGCTGAATCTGTGTCTTCCAACTTCTGCTGCAAAGCTTGTGAGGATTCCAGCGGCTAAAGGCTTGGTCGGTCATGGAAGGGCGGGGACTTCCACACAGTGTCAGGCTTGGGAGAGAGACAGACTGTTCCCACTTCTTCTCGGGGGTCCCCCTGAGTTAGGTTGGCCCTCCCGTTGATCGTCGATTTGCTCGAGCGGGCCCAGTAACGTCTCCATTGGAGACTTTGTTGTTACTGTGTCTGGCATATCGAATACTCTCGGTAGCTTGCCGGGCTCTCCGAGAGGGGCGGAGGAATCGAACTCGGGTCGGCCATGTTGGCCGCTTGTAAGGCGAACGCCCTACCGCTGTGCTATCGCTCCAGCCCCTGAGTTAGGTTAGGGAAAGGAATTTCCGAAAGGTGGTCGGAAAAACTAAGCCCGATAAATCACGTCCACAATTTACATGGGGTGCGAAAACATGAAGCCAGCAGCCACTACAGGCTACCATGCTTGGGATTCCCAGGGGGAGAAAGATACCTTGATATCAGTAAGAAATAAACAGAGACCTGGAGACACTGTGTGGGGTTAAGTAAGGTGCTTGTAGCTGACCCCAGTTTGCTCCTCAGCACCCCATGGCTCCCTGAGCATCACGGGGCTCCCAGGTTAGCTACAAAGGGCCAGAGCAGCACCACATTCTTACACTTTCGCAGAGAACTGCTGCCCCAGTTGTCTGAGAATGGCTGGAAAGAGCCCCCAGGTCTCCTGTGCCTTCCTTGGGAGAAGCTCCCCACCAACACTCTCCTCCTCCAAGAGCCAGTTAACACATGAGGAAGTCATTAGCAAGAGTGAACATTTGGGCTCAGGGCTCTGCTCAGTGATGAGAGCACTCAGGTGTGCAGACGGCCCACCACAGAGCAGCCCCCTCTCCTTTCGCTTCTCGGGGGGCTCTTAGGGGACCCCTCAGTCACTCTCATACCTAGTCTTCCTACGAGTGTCATTGTTTATTGTTTTTGTGAATTTTTTTTTTTAAGCTTTAGGGCCACAGTTGGTGGTGCTCAGGAGGTCATTCAGGGTACCAGCAATCAAACCTGGCTCATCCACGTGTAAGGGAAGCACCCTACCCACTGTGCTATTGCTCTGGTCCCACCATTAAACATTTTTTTTTCTTTTTGGGTCACACCCAGCGATGCACAGGGGTTACTGCTGGTTCAGGCACTCAGGAATTACTCCTGGTGGTGCTCAGGGGACCACATGGGATGCTGGGAATCGAACCTAGGTTGGCCACATGCAAGGAAAACACCCTAGCCGCTGTGCTATCATTCCAGTTCCCACTAACATTAAGTTTTTAATTTAGATTATCTTCACTTGCTCGGCTCTGGTTTCATCCCTGCTTTCTACTAACAGCTGTTGGCTGCCATGTTCTGCATTTTCCTGGGAGGCTCAGGGAAGAATAAAACCCGTGCCATCCTCTGAGGAGCTTTGCCGCCATACAGAACTCCTGTTCTGTCACTCTCCTCCAGTTTCTTCAGGCCTCAGTGAACTCCCGTCATGAAACTCTGGCACGACAAACCCAGGGTGGAAAGGGTGCTGTCCCTCCACCTGTTCCCCCTTGGCAGCTCTGTGGCCACCATCCGCCACAGTGACAAGACACACAGGGCCTCAAGGGATGGGGGTGGAGTCGGCCTTTCCTCCCCGTCTGAACAAGACCCCGAGTCGCCACCCATGAATGGCCTGTCTGGCTCCTGATCAAGCTGCTTAACAGCCATGATCCCAGAGACTCAGAAACAAATCTCGGAACCCAGTGGCTTTTGGCAGAAATGCGTCTGGACCCCGCAGTAGGTTACTGTTGCTGGGCTACCCCAAGGGGGAAAGGGTGCTGTCCCTCTGCCTGCTCCCCCTAGGCGGCTCAGTCGCTGCCATCCTTCAGAGGCCATTGGACAGTCAGGTTTGGGCCCTCAGTGATGAGACATGCAGGGCGTCACAGGATGGGGGTCGAGCCGGCCCTTTCCTCCCCATCCTATCAAGACCCCAAGTCGCTGCCCATGAACGGCCTTTTTGGCTCCTGATCAAGCTGCTTAACGGCCATGATCCAAGAGACTCAGGAACAAATCTTGGAACCCAGCAGGTTTTGGCAGATATCCCTCCAGATTTAATTGTTAAAATTTCGGAATTTCAAAATTGCGCGGCCACTACTGCAGCCATGCAACATCATATGTTATTCATAACCAGCAATAGAAAACAAATTGTCTACTGTTGCCTTTTCAGCAGATCTGAGTGTTGTAATAAAATCCCAAATAATAATGGTGGGTCTGGTGTCAAAATATTGAATGTAATCAAAATAGAGAGAGAGTAATGTGGAAATCATCTGCCCCACAGGTAGGGGGAGGGTGTGGGATGGGGATATACTGGGGTTTTGGGGGGTGGAGAATGGGCACTGGTGAAGGGACGGGTGTTTCATTGTATGACCGAGACTTAAACCCGAAAGCTTTGTAACTGCTTTCACAGTGATACAATAAATAAAATTATAAAAAATAGGGGAAAAAAAGTAAGGTGGAGTTCATGCCCAATTCTATCAGCTAATCAGCAGCTGAATAAATAGCAGTACTCCTACATAATTAAAAAGAAAAGAAAAAAAGAAAGAAACTCTGGCCCAGCCACCTTCCCTCCACTCAGGGCCCTGCCGTCCCTCATCCCTCCCAGGAGGGTGTCCGCTTTGGGTACCCTCTGGCCAGACTGCAGAATTAAGAGAACACCCTGTCACCGCCCAATGTCCCTAAAGGCACTGACTAATGAAACAAGACCCCACTCTCTCTGACTGGAAGAACCAAGCAGAACACGGGTCTTTGAAAGTCTGGGGGTGGGGCGGGGAGCAAGGTAGGTTCTGCCTGGACAACTCAAAAACTTCCTGAAGAGAAGGAGCTATTCCATGGAAAGTCACCTACTGGCATCAAATCCTCCTGAGCAAGCAAAGGGCGCCCAGTCCCTGAGGGAAAACAAGTTCTGAATGACAAACTCCCATTCCTTCATCCAAAAGGCCGCCACATTCACGTGCCAGGGAGGAAGGCTGGCGACGTGTGGTGGCGCCAGTGTTTGTTTGCCTCCGTGACTAAGCCGTGGTTCAGTAGAAAGACAAAGCAGCTCTGCTTTGAGTCTTCCCAGGGCTCTCCTCTGGACCCAATAGTTTTCAAAGTGTAAGCACAGTATATCTCCTCAGTATCTGAGATGGTGATTTAACTCCTCCAACCCCTCGCCTTCCCGCCTGGTCTCAGTGCCACCCTTGCGGGCCAGAAGCGCCAGCAGGGAGTAATGGGGAGTCCAGCCCACACCAGGGCTGCTCCTGTGGACGCTTTTCCAAGGGATGAACCACCTTCAAACACCAATCTCTCCTATCTAATGCATTTATACGGGTCCAAGGGTGCAGTCAAGACTGATAGACTATGCACCTGCAAGAAGAATGCCTGATGCATCTCGGTCTAGTTTGGCAGGAGCTGGTTTTAGGAATCCTTCAAGCTCACTGCAAGGTCTACCCCCAGAGGGACACACACAGGGTGGGGAAAAGAAAGTATTCAACAGGGTCCAGCACGTGGATCAATTACAGTGACAGGGTGTCTCAGCATGGGATGGGGGACCCTCAGCCTCACACATGCAAGGCATGAATTTTCCCTCTGAGCTGCGTCCCCGGTGGCAATGAATTTGGTAATGGCAGATGGCAGGAAAGAGGTGGAAGGACAGTCATCAACGGTTCTGATCTTGTAGGTCTAATCACTTCTAGGGGGCAGTGAGGCAAAGCTCTAAAGCTATGTCAGACCCAGGCTAAAGGGACACACTGTGGAGAAGCTGGAATGCTGGGAACACAAAAGCATGGAATTCAAACTCCTCTCTTCATCCCTTTCTTCCTTCCTTCCGCTTCCGGTTGGGCCACAGCCAACAATGCTCAGGGGTTCTTATGGGATGCTGGGGCTCAAACCTGGGTCGGCCACGAGCGAGGCAAACGCCTTACCCGCTATACTATCACTCTGGCTCCTCTCCTGACTCTTTCTTACCAGCTCACCAGAGGTGAGCAGAGGGCCAAGCCAAAGCTCTGGCCTCGTGTGGCCTCCTGGAATAAAGGCAATGGCGACTTTGGCTAGGGACACCTTCCTGGTCTGGGAGTGGGGCCACTTACCTTAAACCTATCAACAGCAACTGATGCTTCCGAGAGGGATTTCACTGAGAACGGTGTGACTTTCAGAGCGAAAGTCATGGAATTGAAAACAGTCACCACTGTGAAGGCCTGTAGAACAGAAACAGACAGAAAAAAGAGCTGATTGAGAAGGTGTCAGGGAAAGATGGCAGAGCCCACGTTAGCCCTTGGTACGCTGCTCTAATTCTCTCTTATGTAATGGGCTTTTGTGTTAGATTTAACTTGAAAAAAAAGAGGATGCAGTTTTTATTTTTTAAAGTTTAGAAACTGTGGGGCGGGAGTGATAAAACAGTGGGTAGGAAACGTGCCTTGATGTAGTCGACCTGGGTTTCATTTCTGGCATCCCATGTGGACCCTGAACCCACCAGCAGTGATTCCTGAGTGCAGAGCCAGGAGTAAGTCCTGAGCATAGCTCAATATGAATACCCCTGCCCCCACCACACACACACACACACACACACACACACACACACACACACCGCCACAAAAAAAGGTTAAAAAACCCAGTCCACTAGTGATTCTCAAGTTTGAAAGCAAATGATTCAAAATCATATTAAACATATATTAAAACAGCTATTTGGTTGTGGTCAATGAGTTTTCTCTAAAAGATATTGTTGAGTTTAACCCTGCTTGCAGTCAAGGACAGCTGTTAAGTCTCTGTGATGAAAATAGGTCTCAATTTGATCAGGCTCACTGAAAATTGCCTACTGGATCCAATGCTGCAAAGGGGCAATTGTACAGTGGCTAGGGTACTTTCCCTGCACCTGGCTAACTGAGGTTCAATCCCTGGCATCCCATAAGGTTTCCCATGCACTACCAGGGCTAATTCCTGAGTGCGGAGCCAGAAGTAACCCTTGAACATTGTTGGGTATGATCTAAAACCAAATCAAAAGAAAAGCTGCAAAGAAAAGAAAGTTTATTGAGATTTAAGACAGGCAGGAGGACCAGGGGTGGGGGTGGGGGAGAGATGGGGGGGGGAGAGAGAGAGAGAGAGAGAGAGAGAGAGAGAGAGAATGAACCACAGAACCAAACCACTGCTGTACTGCTGTATGACGAAGGATACTGCTTTTCTCTTAGTTGTCCCTCTGAGTGAGGGATACCCTGGCACCTCCAGACAGGATATTGAGGGAAGTGTCTGTCATTTCCCTGGTCTACAGAGGGGCTCTGGGAATATTTAATTAAGCCCTTCAGAAGCTGCAGGCTCTGCTAATGGCTCGGGGGCTTTGGGTTCTTGACACTTTCTCTGCCTACAAGGAATTATTTCCATTTTCTGGCTGAGGAAGAGAGTTGGCCAGAAAGAACTGTAAACAATATCACTGACTCTGACAGAGGAGTAATCTGCAGAATGCAGGAACATTTTTGTTATTGTTGTGTGTTTTGGGGGCCCCGCCTGGCCGGGTTCAGGTCTTACTCCAGGTTCTATGCTCAGGGATCACTCATGGCAGGACTTAGGGGACCATATGGGGGTGCCAGGAACAGAACTCAGGATGGCCCCCAGGCGAGACAAGCACCCCACCTGATGTCCTTTCTCTCCAGTGGCAGGCAGAGTGAGGGGGGTTTTAAGATGGTTTAGAATGGGGCTTCCTGACAACAAACAAAGGGAACACTAAGAACCTCTTTCACTAACACTGATTTGAAATTGACGATTGCTAATTGTGCAAACTAAACTGATGAAATAATCACTAGATAAATACAATTCTGCCTACATGCCAAAGAAATGGAGTCTGATGAGTTCCCATCAACATCCTGTAGCCGATCACGTGGGTATGAGTCAGGTACTTTTATCTACTTCATTTGTTTGGGGGCCACGCCTAGCCGTGCTCAGGGGTCAGTTCTGGTGGACTCAGAGGTCAGATGAGGTATGGAGGGTCAAACCCAGTTTTGTGGCATTCAAGGCAAAGCGCCAGACCCACTGCACTCTCTCTCCAGCCCCAGATCCTTTTCCCACAAAGATAGTTTTGCTGTACGTGTTTTAAAACAAGACTTTCAGTGAGAAGTCTCCGAAGTTTCAAAGAACAATGTGTATTTCAGCATTCAACTCAACACTGAGCTAACTAAAAACCATTTGAGTTTATGCATTAAGGTTAAAATTTTTCCATTTTTTGACTTCATTTCACGTACAAGGGGGAAAAAAATGGGGATGATGTGAATTATCAGTGGGACCTGCAAATCCAGTTCCCAGAGGCCCAGAGCATCTGCCGGCCGATCTTACTACCAGGCTCCTCACCTGTGCTGCCGTCAGGTCAAAGCCCAGGTTCATGTGCACGGAGAAGGTCACCACACTGGCGATCACCATGACGATGGGCGCCACGCCCACGGTGATGCTCTGGAAGTAGCCAGCCTTCTCCAGGATGCGCCGCTCCTCCTCGCGGATCTCTGTGACACACAGTGAGAGAGCCAAAACGTCAGAGGAAACCACAGCACACTGTTCTCCCGTCACCCAAGATTCAGTAGGTCTGCTGTGACACAACAGTTTTACTAAGGCACTTTCTGGGGTTGGAGAGATAGTAACGCACTTGCTTTGCACATGGTCAGCCAACCTGGGTTCAATCCCCACCATCTCATATGGTCCCCCAACCCACCAGGAGTAATTCCTGAATGCAGAGCCAGGAGTGCCCTGAGTACTGGCAGGTGTAGCCCAAAAAACAAAAACAAAACTAAGGGAGTGATTGAGAGGGATACTGAGATTATTGGTGGTGAATGGGCACTGGTGGAGGGATGAGTACTCGATCATTATATGACTGAAACTCAAGCATGAAAGTTTGTAAGTCTGTAACTGTACCTCACAGTGATTCACTAATTAAAAAATTAAAGAAAAAAACACACTAAAAAGATCCTTTCTGGGGTGCTGAGCGTGTTGCTTTGTTTCTGTTTTTATTTGGGGGGAGGGGTGGGGGGGTCACACCCCCGTGCTCAGAGCTTACTCCTGGCTCTGTACTCAGGAATCACTCCTGGAGGGGCGAAGGGCCCACATGGGGTGCCGGGGTAAACCCTGGGTCAGCCGCGTGCCAGGCAAGCCGCCCGCCTGTTGTACTGTTTCTCCAGCCCCAAGTTTGTTGCTGTTGAGCCTCCTGAGCACTTTGCACATCTTATAAACAAGCGCTTTTGTGTTGCTACTGTTTTTGCTTTGTTTTGGAGCCATGCTTGGAGCTACTTAGGGAGTGACTCTCAGCTCTGTGCTTCTGAGCTGTTCCTGGCAGTGCTCAGGGGGACCAGTTTTTGAGGGATTAAAAATCTGGCTGCCCTAGCCAGTATCACTCCAGCCTAGAAATTAACCCTTTATGAGATGTGAAAATAGTTGGTCCCTATTTGTTCTTTCGTTTTCTCTAGGTTCTCTCACCATGCAAAAACTTTTTTTTGTTTTTTTTTTGCTTCTCGGAGAGCCCGGCAAGCTACCGAGAGTATTCGATATGCCAGACACAGTAACAACAAAGTCTCCAATGGAGATGTTACTGGGCCCGCTCGAGCAAATCGACGATCAACGGGAGGGCCTTTACCTTTACCTTTGCTTTTTGGATCACACCTGGCGATACTAGGGGTTACTCCTGGCTCATGCACTTAGAAATCACTCCTGGCGGTGCTCAGGGGACCATATGGGATGCTGGGAATCGAACCTAGGTTGGCCACATGCAAGGCAAATGCCCTACCCGTTGTGCTATCGCTCCAGTCCCCCATAAACATTTTAAACGCAGTCCCATTTATGTCTGCTTCTGATATTCTTGCTCATGGAATCGACTCATCACGAAGGAGGGAGACAAGAGTAGGTGACTAGATAAAGAAGCTATGGTACATCTATGCAATGGAGTACTATGCAGCTGTTAGGAAAATGAAGTGATGAAATCTGCTTATAAATTGATGGACATGGAGAGTATCATGCTGAGTGAAATGAATCAGAGGAGAGGGACAGATACAGAATGACTGCACCCATTTGTGGTATAAAAACAAAATAGGATAAGACTAATATCCAAGGCCAGGTCAATGGTTGGAAGTTGCCATGGGTGTGGCGGGGTGTGGGGGAAGGGCAGAGGGCAGTTAGGATAGAGAAGGGACCAGTATGACAATAATGGAAATAATTGTAACAATAATGGACATGAAACCACAGCCATGAACATCACCAGGTGTGGCCCCCAAATAAAAATTTAAAATCGGGGTTAAGGAAATAGCTCAGAGGGCTGAGCACACGTTTTACACGAAGGAGGTCTGAGTTCAATCCCAGCTGAGTTCTACCGGGAGCAATCCAAGCCACAGAAATGGAGGTGTTCCCCAAACACCCAAACCATACACAAATAAATAAAAACAGAACCATCTTAAACTAAGAAGGTTCTGTACCTAGTGACCAGGATACAAAAACAGCCTATGGAATGGGAAAAGATATTCACCCAATACCCTTCTGATAAGGGGCTAATATCAAGGATATAAAAGGCACTGGTTGAACTCTACAAGAAAAAAACATCAATCCCATCAGAAAATGGGGTGATGAACAGAAACTTTCTCAAAGAAGAAATTCGAATGGACAAAAGGCACGTGAAAAAATGCTCTTCATCACTAAAAATCAGGGAGTTGCAGATCAAAACAACAATGAGATATCATCTAACATTACAAAGACTGGCACACATTCAAAAGAACATAAGCAACCAGTGTTGGCATGGATGTGGGGAGAAAGGGACGCTCTTTCACTGTTGGTGAGAATGCCGAATGGTCCAGCCTTTTGGGAAAACAATATGGACGTTTCTCAAAAAACTAGAAAATTGATCTCCCATTTGACCCAGCAATACCACTTCTGGGAATATACCCTGGGGGCCAAAAAACACACAGCAGAAACTCCATCCGCACTTCTTTGTTCATTGCAGGACTATTCACCATAGCCAGAATCTGGAAACAATCTGAGTGTCCAAAAACAGATAAATGAATAAAGAAACTATGGCACATGGAATACCATGCAGCTGTCAGGAAAAATTAAGTCATGAAATTTTAATGGATATAAATGGATGGACATGGAGAGGATCGTGTTGAATGAAATGAGTCAGAGCACAGCCTGAGCACAGCCAGGTGTAGCCAAAAACAAACAAACAAAAAAGCACACATAAATGCTAGCACTACTGTAGCCAGGTTGCTTCAACAATAAAAAAGAAAAAGATGGGCCTGAGCGTAGGACAGAGGGTAGGGCATTTGCCTTGCACGCTGCCAACGACCTGGGTTCGATCCCCAGCATCCCATATGGTCCCCTGAGCGACACCAGGAGTAATTCCTGAGTGCAGAGCCAGGATAATCCCTGAGCATTGCCTGGTGTGATCCCCTCTCAAAATAAAAGCAATAAATAAATACATTATTTTTAAAGTGAAAAAATAAAAAGACCCTTTAATATCTATGATGCCCAAACCAGGTATCTGTAATGACCAGTGAGAATGGTTCTATGGCAGCCTGAGGTCTGAACTGGACGAAGCCACGGAAATGAATCAGTAAGGAAGGCAGTTATTCATAATGTGATCAGTACAAGGATTATTTTCTGCTTTGGTCTGATTCTTTTACGCAGATTTTGTTATGTTAATAGGGAATGAATACATTCACTGAATTCCTAATTGGCATTTGTGTTTGGGTCCCTGGATGCTATTTATCTCTTGCCTAGATAATCATAGGAATGACACCAACGGTAAAGGAAAATTAAAAGGGAACTAGGACTTCCTAGAGTGCCCACTAAATGTAGATGCCAGGAGAGAGATCTTTACACGCAAAGCAGGAAGGATGAGTCTAAGACTGAAATATGGTTTTTGTAGTCAGAATGGTCTTTGGGTCTGCAATACTGACAAACTTGTTAACAGCAGTCCAAGTGATCAAAAGACCTTGGAGTAGGATGTAAGACAATAAAGGGGTGTGATGTTTTCTCATTCTTTTTTTTTGTTTCGTTTTGTTTTGTTGGGGTCACACCTGGCAACGCACAGGTGTTACTCCTGGCTTTGCACTCAGGAATTACTCCTGGTGGTGCTCAGGGGATGATATGGGATGCTGAGAATCGAGCCTGGGTCGGCCACGCGCAAGGCAAACACCCTATCCGCTGTACTATCGCTCCAGACCCTCACTCTTAAACATAAAAATGATTCTCCAACTGGCTATAGTATGATTCTAAAAATATTGGCACTGCCCAAGACATCAGAAACTCTCTTGAGAGCTAACTCATGACACATTAAAATAAAAAAAAAAAACTCACAAACTAGGGGTCAAGAAAGGAAGCAGAGCACGGCAAAGGCTGGCAAGCTACCCGTGATGTATTCGATATGCCAAAAACAGTAACAAAAAGTCTCTAAGTTTGTTGTGAGACGTTACTGGTGCCCGCTCAAGCAAATTGATGAACAACGGGAGGACAGTGCTACAGTGCTACTGAAATGTCACTGTGTCTTCTGTTTTCACTTGCTCTATTATTTTTGTATGTGGTGGATTTGAGGCCACACAAAATGTGTTTGGGAGACCATGTGGGACCAGAGATCGAACACAGGCCTCCTGCATGCAAAGCACAGGCTCTGTCCATTGAGTTCTTTCTTCAACCCTGTCTTCTTTTTTAAACACCAAAGTATCTTTGAACACATCCTTCTCAAATATCGGCTCTTTTTTTTTTTTTTTGGCTTTTAGGTCACACCCAGCAGGGCTCAGGGCTTATTCCTGGCTCTGAATCCAAGGGTCACTCCTGGCGGGGGTTGGGGGACCATATGGGATTCTAGGAATTGAACTCAGGTTGTCTGCGTGTAAAGCCAGCACCCTTTCTGAAGTGCTGTCACTCTAATCCCCTCAAATGTCACCTTTAAGGTCTTATAGCACCAACTTTTGTGGCAACCCGTCTGAAGACTCAGCCTACTTCTTATCCCTCCAAGATGTCTAGTGCATTGACAAGTTTATGTCTGCACTGAATCTATGAGTTAGAATTGGACCAGGTACTGAGAACACAGGGATTTCATGTTCATCAGTTATTCAAAATAACAAAATAAACAGAACTTTTTCTCTCTTGGGATGAGTGACAGAGTGAGGGTCCAGGGCCAGCTGCCCTGATTTCCAGTCCAGGGTACACCCGCCCCCTCGCCCCATCCTCGGGACTCCAGGTCTACCAGTTTCCAGACAGGTGCACCCGGGACAAAGGGGGCATGTGGCACTCTCAGCAGGGACTCAGTAAGAGAGCACGTACTTTCCACATGCGAGGCCCTGAACCCGTGTACCCCCACCAGCAACACTGGGTGCTGCCGCCCTCAAACAACAATAAAGAAAGAAACTCACTCTGCACCATTTGAGAAAACGCTTTGACCCAGGCGTACATTTTAATAAATTTAATGTAGGTGACAATTTCGCTCATCTTTTGGACACGCTCATCGGTGGTGGCCACACACTTCCTCCTGAAGTATGCAGTGACCCGAGAGGCGAACATCTGAAAGCAAGCACAAAGACATCGGGGATGAACGTTCGTTCAGATTGAACAGTGGCCCATGCTTTCGGGGAAATACACCTGATTAACACAGTTATAAATAAAACGAACAACAGGTCAGGGATGAAGTAGCAGAGCACTTCCTTATGTGAGGGCCTGGGTTTGGTCACCAGCACCTCCAAAATAAAGTTAAAAAAAAAATTCAAACATAAAGTGGGACTTTTTCTTCAATTTCTTTTTTGGGAATACTTTTGTTTTGGGGACACACCTGGCTATGTTCAGTGGTAACTCCTGGCTCTGCACTTAGAAATTATTCCTAACAGTGCTTGGGGACCGACGGGATGCCAGGGATTAAACCCAGGACATTCAGTGCAAAGCAAATACTCTACACCCACTGTATTATCATTCTGGGCCCCTTTTCAAAGAACTCTTTAAAAAACTTTTTTTCATCGATTGAGATTCTGTGATGTACAATACTGTCGGTGATGGTTTCTCTTGCATGTAATTCTTAAGAATTACATGCAACCCCAAAGAAGTCTCAAACAATAAATATCTAGGAGCTGGGGTGATAATACGGCAAGTAGGGCACTTGCCTTGCATGGGGCCCACCTGGTTCGATCCCCGGCAACCCAGATTGGTCCCTGAGTTCTCCAGGAGTGACCCCTGAATACAGAGCCAGGAGTAAGGCCTGAGCATTGCCAGTTGTAGCCCCAAAACTAATCAGCTAGATAAAATGAAAAGTCTACCAAATTGAAACAAAAAACTTAATTCCCATCTCTTCACAAAAGTTAAGACAAATACATATTTGTTCTCAGTATAAGCACAAACAGTGAGTTATATGTAGGGGTGTGGGGGAGTTCTTTCAGCATCAACTCGAGACGGAGTGACCCCCAAACTCTGGGGTTTCTTGGGGACAAGCTTCGCCTCCAGCCTTCTTCACTTCACCTTGGGTCTCTCAATTTCATTAGGAGCTGCTGCCTTGATTCACGCGATACCTCAGGTCCTCTCAAGCCAAGGTCCTGCCCAATGGACTGAGCACTATCTAGTTCCTGCTAGACTTTTCCAAACCAGAAACCTATTTTGAACTGGCAGTTTCCAGTTAGATATGTGATTCTCAGGGAGGTCTACTCCCTGGGCCAGCGCCACTCACCCAGCTAAGGAGGGGTTTCCAACACACAGCAAGGAGGCTCACTCACCATGGCAGGATAAAAGAGGATAAAAACAGCTGATCCCAGGAAGCCGGTGGGTCCCAGAATAATCACATTATACACCATGCCCAAGATGGCGACTACGGGTCCCCCAGCCAGTAAGCTGCCAACCGCGGCTGCCTCGAACATCCTCTGTCCGTCGTTGGAGCAAAGGTTGATGAGCTGCGAGACACGATGGGCAGGAAAAAGATGAAGGACCAAGCGAGGCTCCCCTGGAGAGGAACAGGCTGGGAGCCATCTCTCGGCCCTTGGAGCAAACCCCCAACTCACCTCCCCCACTGACTTCTCCTTGATGTTCTTTAGTTTCAGGATCTTCTTAAATGCCATGGTGAGGATGGCCCCCCGTAAGCGGACACCGGTTCGGTAGTTCAAGGCCCAGGTGAGGGCGAGCGACCAGGAACGCACAGTCTCAGTGAGGAACAGGCCCAGGACCAGCAGGAGGCTGTACTTGAGGTTAGAGTCCGCCACCTGGGCATACTCCAGGAGGCGTTTCACCACGAAGGCCTACAGGGAGAAACACACACCCCCGTGGGCATTGTCACTGTACCCACACGCCACACCACAGCTTTATGTTAAGTTAGAAAGAGCAGGCAGCACGCCTCGGGGCCAACGCAGAGGCAGAACCAAATATCTTCTCGCAGGACCAAGTCATCCCGACATCCTGCTGAGGTCCCTTACTCAGGCCATGGCTCAGGAGTAAGTCTACCTGCAAACATACTTCCTCGAGTGCACCACCCCAAACCAGGGCTCTCTCTAACGTAACATAAGCCTGTCCACGAGTGGAAGTCCATTCTGAACACACTTATTATCATTATTTGTCTTTTAGAAACGCAAACAAGTCAATGCTGGACTTTACGCCAGTACCTCTAAGCATGGATACGTCTCTTTACATGAAACAAACATGTTGTTTTGTTTTTTTTTTTTTTGGTGGGGGGGGCGGCTATCGTATCAAACGTGCTTATTTGATAAAAAGGAACAGTGTACCTACAGTTGTACTGGGGAAGGGTGAGAAGTGCATTTGCAAAACATTCCTGAAAACAAACATCAGCAGTTTTAATAGTACAGAAGACAGCAAACAAAGCAGTCTACGGAGAAGCCGGAGACCCTCCCGCGGGCCCTCCCCTCCTCCCCGCGCCCTCCCAAAGACAAAAACGTGTTACCTCAGGTAGTGTATGTCTAACACCACCTGCTGGGGAGGGAGGCAGCCAGCCCCCAAGAACCACCGAGTGCCACCTCCAGCTCTGAGGTCCTGTAACGCCGGAGCACACACTCATACAAGGCACACTCAGCAACAGGATGAAATACCAGGAAGTGGGAGGCAATGTACTTTTTATTGAAAATGAAAGGGGAAAAAAAAAGGTACCATCTTCAAAGAGCATCTCACAGAGACCGTACAACAGGAGGTTGCATTGTGGTAACATTGACATGAGAACATACAGAGTCCAGTTATACAGGCCGGCCAGCTAAGGCGGTCAGCCGGCCTCCGCCTGGCGTTGGAACCACACACAGTGCAAATACAGAACAGAACCCGTATCTGTTTCCAAAGTCCGGAGCGGTAGGGCAAGCTGACAGCGTTTAATCAGTTAGGGTTCCTGAGGCTTCCGTGAGTTTAGCACGGAGGAGGTTCTCCAGGAATAAAGACTTTGCTGCTAAGGAAAGAGAATTAAAACAAAAACAAAACCCAACCAACGAAAACCTCTCCGAGAGGTAACTGCTTAGTATTGCAGACGCGACTCTGGTCGGCTAGGCTGTGAGGAATGACCTCTCTCTCTCTCCCGAGTCAGAAAACAAACAAATCTAGGCCTCAAGGTCAAACGGTGGTGGCGTCCTTCAGAGTCTTTTCAAGTCTTTGCCGCTAAAACAGAACTTGCCGAAAAAGAGACAAAACAAACCACAACAGAAGCAAGCCAAACCAATCCCCCACCCAGAAGCAAGGGGGAAAAAGAGTAAATTAAACCAGAAACCCATCGACCCATCTAGCCCCGATCCTTACAGCAAAGGGCACAGGAGCTGGAGTCCAGCTCTGAGTAACACACCAAAGCCAGACACCATTGTCCCAAGGCAGCTAACGTGGAATTCCAGAGCCCAGACTCTCCCTAGGTGCCTTGGTATCTCTCTCCCTACTCTCTCTTTTATTTTTTAGTCTGAGAGGAAATGATTACCAGGTGTCCACTAGATCCTAAGAGATCCCCACCCGTCAGACTTATGTCAAGTCTCCGCCAACCACCCAATCTATTAAAGAAGAGGGTTCAAGATTCCAAGGGTCAGCGACTCTCATCTGTCTCTGCCCTCGGAAGTTGGGACTGTCATCAATGGTTTGGATCACTACTGCACACAGGTGGGTCAGTGCTTCACTAGCCAGAAGTGGCCTCTTTTCCAATACTGCCCTCCAAAACGTGGCACTGGGCCACTGGCATGTCAGGATGATCAGAATGCCCTTTTCCTCTCATGAAGCAACTCAGTTAAGATGGTGGAGCGTTTCCTCACACGCCTCTCACACCCGTGGATCAGAATCCAAAGGCAGACATAAGAGGGCAGCAGACAGCATCTTGGGTTCTTTCTTTCCCGGCCCTGTACAAGGACCAGTTTCCAGCACTGGGCAAGCACTGGAGACTTCCCAGGGAGGAGGGGCGAACTTTCAACGAGGGACTTGTGGGGAGGAGGGAGAGGAAATAGCAGATTAAAAGAATTTCCAACATCTAGGTTTTGTTTTCCTATTTTTTAAAAAAATTACACTCCAAACTACTTTGTATGGGATAAAAATATAGGTTAAAAAAGTGACCCAAGTATCAACTGGATTTAAATAAACTGGGAGAAAAACTGGACTGTGTCAGCATTGCTGTCTGGCTGTGGAAAGCATTCCCAGGGAAGAAACATTACCTTACCTGAACTCTTGGCGAGAGATTCTGCCCAGCTTGACTCTCTCATTCTGACCGCAGAATACAGCCATCCTGAAAATTCTAAAGAACAGCTTCTGTGACTGGTTCTACTACAGAGACTTCCCCCCACATCCAGAACCTGACAGCACCAGGCACGCTGCAGCTGGAGAGAGGATGGAAGGGTAGGGAACTTACCTCTCCTACAGACTTTTCTCTGTCCTTGACCCCCGCCCTCCAGCCCTCCTAGCGGAAGGAAACCTCCACCGAGGGACTGACCACCTTCGCTTTGACAGACCTGCAGAGCACATACTGACTCCTTAACCCCAGTCCTATGTCAGGCCTGGTCTTTCCCCAAGGTTTTAATCCTGGAAGACCACAGATCACCTGGGTAAGCTGAGCAGGTGGGCAAGTCATTTTGGGTCAGGATTGTACTCCCCTCCCCCCCCAGAGATTCTAGGAATGTGTGGACACTAAGGGAAATCTCAGAAGATGTGAACAGAGCTCAAGGTCCACCAGCATCACAGGAACCTTGGATCAACTTGATGCATCTATGGTCCAGCCACACACACATGTACACATGCGCGTGCGCACACACACATGCATGTGCACCAGTGCACACACATGTGCATGCACACACACGCACACACACGCACACACACACACACACTTATAGCATGCTTCGTGTATGCTACATCTGGCTACCAAGGTTCAGTGAGGCCTGAGGAGAGAGTTGAAAATGGAATGCCGTATCTACAGCTGGTTCTTCCAGATAATTATCTCAGAACGGACCTCACGGACTTGAAAGTGAAAAACTTTTGAATTCTAAAAAGGTGTGCAAATGTCACAAATCCCCAACTGCTCCCTGAAAGGCCTGGAATCCACAGACAGCAGGACACGCCCACAGCCGACCTCACAACCTACAGAAGTCGTCACGTTCCAATTAAAAGAGGGAACTGGTTGGGATGGGAAGGACACTGAGAGAAGTTTGTGTAGCTGATGACTTTCGATTTTCCCTTTATCAACAGAGAGACTGGAAGGAGCTGTCTGCTTTTCCACGTGTGTTCCAGAATGGAATCTCATGGAAATGACGCGGGATTTTAGGTCCTCCCCTACAAAAGGGCCAGGAGAAGACCCGGGCTGCTCTCTTCGTATCAAAGGAAGGGTTTGAGCTTCTCTCGCATCTAGAAGGGTGTACGAGGGATTAGCATTCCAGCATACACTATGTTATAAGGGGAATTAAGGAAAACAGGTGGATACCTACGAGGGATCTCCGGCTGCACGTGCTCGGGCAGTATTTCTTCCCACGTGAAATATTAAAGCTCCCCAGCCTACGGGGGGTGGAGGGGCAGTCGAAAAAGGTCCTGCCGAGTCAAAGGGAATCAAGGAAGTCTGCACACAGCAAGGCAGTTGGATGAAATCTATGGGAAGTCGGGCAGCCCCCAGTCCTGAAGTGAGACAATGACAGAAGCTCTTCTTGGGAAAAGCTGCGCCTACGAAAATGTTTGTTGTTTTGGACACTAACAGCATTGAGTCACCTGATCCCTCTTACTCAGAACTTATACAAAGGTGAGTTAGTTGGTCAATCAACAGAGAAACTTAATACCAGGAAAAGGAGTACTCTCTGCTTCAGGAAAGAGATCAGAATGTTTCGTAAAGGCATCAGTTATGAAAACAGAACAAACAGAAAAGCAATTATCAACAACAAATTCCAGAAAACTGTAAAAATCCATTGGGCCTCCTTCCATGCATCTTAAGACACGTACTTACCCAGACCGTGCCCATCTGGCTTACCCACACCCGGAAAACGCACAACAGAGGCAGCATGACTGTTCGGGTGCCTCAGGTGGGTAGAGAACAGACTTAATCGAAGTCGCACGTGCAAGGCAGCTCGGCAGGGGGAGACACAGGTATCCAGCAAACAGTGCGGCTGTCCTGCAGCCAGCCTCCCCCCCCCCCCGGCGGCCACCACCCGGTCACTAGACACCAAAGCTTTCCCCGAGCTCCAGGGAAGACTCTGCACCCTGCACCAGAGCCCTGGCTTCTTGGGGGCTCCGTGGCCCCAGCTCCATGCAAAATCTGCCACTGGGCACCAGTGCCTGCCCAGCACTTGCTCCACAGACCCCGGCCACACGCTGCGCGCTCTCACCCACCCATGGCACCGTGAGACGCATCTACCCCATCCAAGACGGTCAACCCAGGTCCACGCACAGCCCGGAAGCCCAGAAGCCCAGCGCGCACCTGCGGCAGAGCCAGAACCATTCCAGGACACCACCCCCTGCCTGAGGGCAAAGCCAGCTGGTGTCATTTCTTCCTTCCCCCACGGCCAGCCAGCTTCTGGCCAGCGACCTCCATTTATGCCGAACTCCAGGGCTCCCTCTCCAGGCCCAGAGGCACGGCCAGGGCCGTCACCAGTCTCCAGGGGGGTGCACCCCCTGCAACAGGACCAGAGTGTCAGCGCTGGTCACGGCCAGGCCCTTGGCGACCGTCCGCAGGAAGCTGAAAACTTACTGGTCCACTGAAGCCCGCCAGCTGTGTGATCATCAGGCACATGATGGACAGGATGAGCCTGGTACGGCAGAAGGTCCACACGACCCTTCGCAGGGAGGCGCCATCCGGCCCGGCTCTGTT